TGCTGTCACGCGATGCAAATTGAAGGATGGGAAAACGGTATTTGCATTGAAGGTGAGTTGCTCCGAGTCATCTTAGCATTCCTTCCTTGGAGCAAAACTTACCTTGTCTTCAACACATAGATTATCACTACAGACCCCAATCCGGACGTGAAGAAGCAAATTGTTCGCGAGCTCAACTTCAACAAGGACTGCGCATCGGATCACATCTGCCGCTACTATGGTGCCTTTATGGACAAGTCCACGGGCACAATTTCGATTGCCATGGAGTTCTGTGAAGGTGGAAGTCTTGACAGTATCTACAGGGAGGTCAAGAAGCTTGGAGGTCGAACCGGAGAGAAAGTTCTCGGTAAAGTTGCAGAGGGCGTACTCAATGGATTGACCTATCTACATGGCAGGAAGATCATCCACAGAGGTAGGTCTTTAAAATCAATTTGGATCCAGTCCGGTGGCCTAATTTTTTCACAGACATCAAGCCTTCCAACATTCTCCTGTGCCGGGATGGCCAGGTCAAGCTCTGCGATTTCGGTGTCAGCGGCGAGTTCGGCACCAAGGGCGATGCAAACACCTTCATCGGTACTTCCTACTATATGGCTCCAGAACGGATCACCGGCCAATCATACACCATCACATCTGATGTCTGGTCATTGGGCGTGACTCTTCTTGAAGTTGCACAGCACCGATTCCCCTTCCCTGCGGACGGGACGGAGATGCAACCCCGCGCCGGTCTCATAGATCTCCTTACATATATTGTGCGACAGCCGATCCCCAAACTGAAGGATGAGCCACAGAACAATATTCGCTGGTCGGATAACTTCAAGTACTTTATCGAATGCTGGTACGCCTCTGTGATCTTTGTTGGTATTCTGCTCACTCCATTTTAACCATCATTGCAACAGTCTCGAGAAAGAACCTCCTCGACGCGCGACACCTTGGCGGATGCTGGAACATCCCTGGATCCTGGACATGAAGAACAAGAAGGTCAACATGGCAAACTTCGTGAGGCAGGTGTGGGATTGGAAAGACTAGGTGGGAAATGTCGAGGCGTTTTAAAAAAGAAATCATTCACCTCTCGCAGACCTCCCGAAGCTTGTCCTTTCCTTCTCTTCGTCCTCTCCCCAAGTTTCTTTTTCGAGTATGAGTGGCTGGACCCCCCAAGGATTGACCTGGCTGTCAACACGACTCAAAATACGACCACCACCATCGATCCGGTGCTTCACTTCGTTGTGTTTTCTTCCCCCCTTTGACTCTATGTTTGGCGCTATCCATCTTGTCATGATGTCTTTTTCTGTTCCTCCTGGGCCGGCACTCGGTAGAACGCGACATTCTTCTGCTCTCATCATACCCTGTCATCTACTTCTTTTTATATCTGTCAGCGACTACGATATTGATTCGGCTACGCACTTACCCATACGATCCTTCACGGCCTTATATCCCGCACGTCATTCTCGCATATCTTTCATTTTCGTGGCCCACGCTCTTCATCTTCCTCCTTCTCTCCTTACATTCTCGTCTTTTCTTGGTTTCCTCATCTCATGTGTCACATTTTAAGCCTGGACATATCGATCATCGTCTGCTGTCGTTCCCTTTTTTTCAATGTATAGCCTTCCCCGTTGTTTAGGTTCCGGGGAACTTGATGCTGGTTTTGAATTTAGTCGTGGAAATGGATGTATGCAATGCAATGCATTGGAGACTGCAGTATCCGGCACATATTAGGTAATACCATCGCAGTTTTGAACTGTCTACCTCCCAAACTTGAGAAGCGTGACTTGAGCCATTATGGGCAAGGATCACGCGACCATGATCGGGTAAAACGAGAAGTAAGCGCCAAGGCACCATAATGAGTAAGACTAGATATTAAAGCTGCGAAACCGATATAGGTCAATAATCATATTCATTAGTCCTCATAATACAGCTACATTCATGGGAATAAATGATTTCGCGTCCGATCGAATCACTAATCACATTTCTACCGATTCACCGGCTCGGCACCAAGAACCCATCCAAGGCCACTTGCCAAACCCCCCGTCACCATATTGCTAACCATATCTCTCTTCCGTACACGACCCTCACCCTGATCGGGCGAGAAAGACCGCTCCGCATCCCCAGACCCAGCGCTTGCTGGTGCTCGAGACGCATCGGCAGCCCCACGCAACGGGAAAGCATTCTTATGCAACGCCATAGCCGCGCCGCGAGCAACCTCAAACAGACCCATGGGCGCCTCGTGCGGATGAGAGTGCGGCATTGCGGCGCGAGCACGGGCTCGTCGAGCCGCACGCTGCTGGGCGGTGTCGAATGCGTCGCGCTCGGAATCCGTAGGACCGAATCCGCCCGGGACGGTGGAAAGGCTGTCGCCTTTCGAGTCCCAAACGTCCTCTTCTTGTTGCTCTCGGGCGCGGAGCGAGGACATTTCCTCATCGCAGCGGCGCCAGGCACCGAGGATTTCGGGGAGAGGGTCGGGGGAGGGGACGAGGGCTAGTGCGAGGGAGAGAAGTTCCATGCGTTGTGAGAGATGGGTTATTTGGGATTGGAGGGAGGCGGAGGTGTTGGGTGAGGCGGAACGGTACCGTCCTGCGTTATAGACAGCCCGCCAGGAGATGTCGTCTGGGACGGTTGGGGTAGTGAGGAGTGGTGAGGAGATTGGGAGCATGGAGGGTGGTGTTAGGCGGGTGAGGATGTAGGAGTAGGCTGTTCCGAAGTCGTTGGAGTTTAGAGCGGAGGATATGGCGAGTGAGGTGATGCGTCGTTCTGCAGTGACGAGTGCATCTTCCTCGGAAAGTTGCTCTTGCTGGCGATGGCTTTCATGTTCGTTTGATGATAGGTGGGTGGGGAGGCCAGCTTTGACCAAGTTCTGGCCGATTGAAATAAGGTCATCCAGTTTGGTGTAGCTCTTCACGTTTTGATCGAGAACCTTTTCGACCAGAGAGAGAGGGTCGTGGTGAACCCGAATGCTGACCGGTTCGAATGGAACGCCGTGTTGCAGCGTCAAGGAGTAGAAGGACAAGGCGTGTGTTGCGGCGATGAGAGAGCTGATTTGTTTGAGCTGGGTTGATGTTTGAAAATGCGGCTGGAAGGCTTGCAAACTATGGAGGAATTAGATACTACGGTTGGTCAATCCTTACTCAGGCAGAACTTACATATCATAGGCCTTTTTCATCCCTCCACGCGTTCGGTTGCCATTGCTTGCATTATCATAGGCTGCGAAGATGGCTTCTACCACGGCAGTCTCTACCTGAGAAGCGTCCAGCGGTGACTCGGGCTGATTGTATAGATCCACGGCCAATTGGTACTCTACCAGACGTTGTTAGTAGCTATCAGGCTTGATTGGTCATGGGAAAGATCTCACCTCGGGCGCTGAGCAGAGCCTTCAAGATCTCCGTCTCGACTACGTCCCGCGAAATTTTCCAGAAAAGCCCATGGTGGGTAGAGGGCTCGTCCCACCCATCGTCAGAATGTTCTGCTTGCCAATCCCGAAGCCACAGCAGCTGCAGTCGAACACATTCCCAACTTTGTTTCGATCGTTGCTGTTTGACAGCTGACGAGACCACACTCTTGAGCTCCGTTAATTGCATCTCTTCACTGCTATGCAGCGCAAGGTTGGCCACAACTCGGCACGGAAGCAGATGACCGAGCTGGGTCAAAATGCGGAGGGATAGAAGCAATGCGCTGAGGAAAGATATCGAGGATGGCGATGGTTTTGTCAAAGGATTTTCATGTGCTAGGAGGGCGTTCTGTAAAAGCGAGGCCCGTGATGTTGAAGAAATCCGCTCTGTATCATAGTCCACCGATGGAAGGTCTGAGTCGGACGAGTTCAAATATGAAAACTCTTCCAACTCAAGTAGTCTAGCAACTCGGGCCACGACCTGAAATGATCCATCTAACGCGGCCTGTGACGAGTCCGCATGAGCATAGACCACAGACAATCCAGACTGCCCGTATCGACTTAACAGTTCTGTTCTCTGCTCGGGTGATGTCTGATTTCCCCTGTCATCGTAACCCCCCAAATCGATATCTCCGGGGCCGTTCCAGCTGTTAAAAGCACCGACGACGCTACTATGATCGACAAGGCTTCGTGATAACAGCCATTCGTTCACGTATTCCCAGCCGGCCAATTCAGTGGGTTGGGGTTTCGGCGTTCCTTGAACGAAGGAGATCGAGTTCTGATGCGCACGCTCGTTCAGTCTCCTTCTCTTTGCTCGATTGCTGCCATACAGCCATGGCCCAATCAACCCCCTTAGATTGGTGACCAAATCCATGTTGTTACCCTCGGAGCCAGTAATCGATAGTAGGACATTGATCGCGGTCTGATCATCCATCAACTCCAGTGTCTCCAATGAAATCGTCTCGTCGCGATTAGGGTAGTATTCGTAATTGAGTCGCAGGGTTGGCAGTAGACTTGAGATCAACCATGTTCGAATGATGGGCCGCTGTTCGTAGAAGGGCAGGAGAAGGCCCAGAATGAGGGGTTGTAGGGCGGTTTCGGTATCAATCAAATATGCTCGATGGACGAGGAACTGGGTTAAGTGGTCCGCAGCCTCGACTTCTTCCTCCTCGTCCTCTCGCTTCAGCGGTCTCAGACGAAGCCTCCGAACACGTTTCCGTGCTACTGCCTCGGACAAGTCCTTTACCGTCGATGTATCGATATCGCGATCCCCAAAGCCTGATGGGCAGTCTTTAGTCAGCTGTTGCAAGACTGGAACGTAGGTGGAAGGTTCTGTGCTCTCGGGTAGGTAAGTCAGGATGATGCGTAGGAGGCGTTCCAATGGAAAACAATGGGAGTAGTGCGCCTGCAGGGCAGGTAAGTCGGTCACGGCACCAGTGGTACAGATGTGTGTAGCTAGCAGGATCGCATGAGCATCCGATAGCCCTTCCAGAGGAGCCATGGCGATCGCGCGGGGGAAAGATAGGAGGATGAGGTGTCCTTATACTAACGACGTCAACCCGCAAGTCGCATACGGCGTCGCGCACGGACCATGTCGGAAACGAAAGGGAAAGCGTCGCATCCACCAACGACCTCACCACCTTCTTGCTGCCTCTCCGCCTACCAACGCTGCCAATTCCTTCATTCTACCTCGACAATGGCTTCCGGACACGGTCTCAATGGTGGTACGTGCTCTTCTGTCCCTTCTCCAGAGGGTGTGGCCGGTCCGCGGCTGGTGACTTGCCGGATCACATCTTGCGAAGACCCTCCTCTCTCCGATGAACTGTGCCCTAGCTGACTTTGCTTCGTCTTTGTCCAGGTCCCTCCCGCTGCTACCCCTTCTGGCAAGAGGTTCTTGGTTGCTACGTCGTGAACTCCGGTGAGGGCGAGTCCGGCAAGAAGAAGTGCACCCCGGCCCTTGAAGATTACTACGAGTGCCTCCACCACCGGAAAGAGGTATGCTCAGATCCTTGACAATTGGGGGTGTTCCGTTTCAATATTTCAGAAAGCAAGGTTGACCATGATCCTACAACAATAGGCTCTCCGCACAATGAAGATGCAAGCCGCCTACCGCAAGGCCGAGGCTGCCCACCCCCGCGAGAACGCCCCCAAGGCTGAGCAAATCCGGAGCCTGGGTCTGCTTGGAAAGGAGGAGGAGGCAAATGCTGTGCTTGCGGCGCAGCGATCATAGGAGAGAGATGAGCAAATCCAGGGCGCGATGGTTCTTTCTTTTTTCGGATGCGTGTGATCCTTGTTTCTGCTCGCCGGAGCCAACCTCCGGGGGCCTCTGGCTGTATAGAAACGCTAAATTTTTCCGACCGTTTGGTCTATTGTTGAAATGATACTCCGGTTTTTCCATGACAGGGCGTATTATCCTAAGTTCCAGGTGTTCGTCGTAGCTTGCAGTCAGGTTGAGTGGATTAGTCCCGATTGCTGTAATCATCGGTGACGGCTAATGACATAGCCCGAGAAGGGGTTTGTATTCTGTGCCCTACTTTGCTTACTATCAAACCCAAACTGTAATTCAACTACAGGAAGTCGGATTTCAATGACACCGTAGGTATCCGCGTCTTCCAAGAAAGGTCTCGCTTTCCAGGCACTTGAGACTGTCAGTTACTGGCAGCTCCCGGCACTTGAAGCTACCGTTCCAGAGCAATCCTTGAGATACCATATGTCATATAAACTGTTCAATCAATCATAAGCTGCTCCAACGGCTGGGTAATATCATCTTGGAAAGACGCCCGCGTGAATAGGTCACCATACTTCGTACTCGGAGACCGAATGTATATATATCGAGGAGTGGATATCTTGCTAGCTCCCGCCGATTCGCAATATGAACCTGTTTATTGGTAGGCATAAGCATCACGAATATACTCCGTACACGTCTTTGAACTATGATATTTGATAGGAAATATTCATTAAGTATGGTATACCTATCGCTGATCTTGTTATGAACTACATACTCGGGTGATCCCTTTCGATCACTGGGAATCTTCGAATCCCAAGAGGCCATCCGGCATGTCTTGGCATTGTCGAGGATGGGAGGAACAATATAGGTCTATATTATCGTAAAGACTGATCGACAATGCATATGAAAGAGTCTCTGGATAGCTTCGAAGTGCCTGGAAGGACACCTTTCTTTGATCCAATCGCTGGCCTCCAGGGGCTGCTTCGTGTCTGCAGCTGCAAACCTAAAGCCGATCATTAAACGCGCGGTGCACGTGACCAGAAAAACCTGAGAGTGGAGGCCCAACCACCACTAGTCCCGATTAGGACTAGCGCCACACACCCAAACATGGACCGGCGCGCCGAGCAGAAGCCCCCCAATGATATAAACCCAGCTGCGTGACCTCGAAACTCCTCTTGTGTACTGAATCTAATCCTCCCTGCTGACTCAGCCCCGGGGCCTTCTGGTGGTGTTGGGCGTTCTTCTGATATTCTTTTGGTTCACAGTGCATGCTTGCCACCCTCGTGACGCGACTCGGCGCGTCCTCTCACTTTACTTTTCGCTATTCAACATCTACTATCTAATTCGGGTGGTGCTGGTCACTCGACATCAGAGTGACGGGCCGCCATGACTTCCCGGTAAGTGCCCTCGTCCAATCACGACGCGTCAGTCACCTGACACTAACCTCACCGCAGACTCGACCGCCTGGTCACGTGAGTTTACGATACCCTGATCACATGATCGTTGTTGAAAGACGATCTCTCATCTCTCTGTTACTGACCAATCACCGTGTAGATTACTTGAAACCGGCAGTACTCAGTTGATTCGAAATACAGCTGCCCAACAACTTGCAGATGTTCAAAAACAACATCCAGACGAGCTCTTCAATCTACTGGGCCGCATTCTACCATATCTTCGCTCCAAGTCCTGGGATACTCGGACTGCCGCTGCCCGGGCAATTGGGCTGATCGTCACTAATGCAGATATCTACGATCCAAACGAGGATGACGGGCAACAAATAAAGTCCGCAGCTGACGATGACGATGACGACGTCGAGATCAAATCCGAAGTCAAGACAGAGGAGACACCCTCCACGTCAGGGACGTTCCTCGACCTCGAGTCGCTAGATATTGCTTCCGTCTTGAAATATGGCAAACGACTACTCGGCAGTGCTGGCAAGGAGTATGAGTACTCCCTCGCGGCCATGGACCCGGCAGCTCGTCTTCAGCACCAAAAGAAGACCCTTTACGGTCGCCTGGGTCTGGAGGGAGAGTATGTGGAGGATGACATTGACATTAGCGACATTGTCATTCCCAAGCCAGCCACACCAGCTCCCAAAAAAGAAGCCTCGACCTCCGCCCTCCCTATTTCTCGCGAAAACAGCTTACAGGATGCGGCTTCTTCCCGACCGTCTTCGCCCAACGAAGCTTCCAAGCTAGAAGAGTCTGGCCTTAGCAAGCGACAGCTGAATCAACTCAAGCGCAAAAACAAACACAGCGCCAAATTGGGAGCGAACAAGGTGCGCGTGGTGGATTTGTCGACCTCACGCCGAACATCGGAAAATGTTACAACACCTGTCGCGACACCCCATCCCATCAAAACAGAGAATGGTGAGGGTCAAAATGGCGAAGCCAAACCCGACTATTTTTCGCTGGATCGCCCTGCTGGCGATGACGACTCCAAGATTGTCTCCGAATTCAAAGGGCCTATTGCCCCCGAGAAGCCCATCATTCAGCCTGACCTTGTGGACCAAGGCGCTGGGTGGCCTCTGGAATGCATGTGCGAGTTCCTCTCAGTGGACATTTTCGACCCTAACTGGGAGGTGCGCCATGGTGCAGCAATGGCTCTCCGAGAGGTAATTAGGGTGCAAGGCGCGGGAGCGGGTCGGATGGAGGGCAAGACTCGCCAAGAAAACGATATCTTGAATCGTCGATGGTTAGATGACCTTGCCTGCCGTCTCGTGTGCGTTCTCATCCTTGATCGGTTCGGCGATTACATTTCAGACAATGTCGTCGCCCCCATCCGTGAAACCGTGGGCCAGACTCTTGGAGCTCTCCTTTGTCATCTTTCGCCCAAATCTGTGCGGCTAGTCTACAAGTGTCTGTACCGTATTATCATGCAGAAAGACTTGGATCTGGACCGTCCCGTGTGGGAGGTCTGCCATGGTGGCATGATAGGCCTACGATACTTGGTTGCTATTCGCAAAGACGTACTTCTCAAGTACTCGACTCTGATGGATGGTGTCCTCGAAGCCGTCATGAAAGGCCTTGCAGACTTTGATGACGATGTGCGTGCTGTCAGTGCTGCCACGCTTGTGCCCATCGCAGAGGAGTTCGTGATATCCCGCGCGGGTACTCTTGGCACTCTGATGAATATCGTTTGGGAATGCCTCTCCAATCTACAGGACGACCTGAGCGCCAGCACGGGTTCTGTCATGGACCTTCTTGCCAAGCTATGCACCTTTCCACAGGTATTGAATGCGATGAAGGCGAATGCGGCAGACGATCCGGAAGCTTCCTTTGGTAATCTGGTTCCCCGTCTTTACCCGTTCCTGCGGCATACTATCACGAGTGTCCGTTCCGCTGTACTTCGCGCACTCATGACCTTCCTTAAGCTCGAGGGAGAAGGGAGCACGGATTGGGTAGATGGCAAGGCATTGAGATTAATCTTTCAGAACTTGCTCGTGGAACGCAACGAGGGTGTTCTCAAACTATCCCTGCAAGTTTGGTCAGAGCTCTTGAAAGCGATCGAACTTCGCGGATCATTCGCGCAGGCCACCGAGCTCTCGAGCTCTGTTGAGCCACTGGTCACTCTAACCCTCGGACCATTCGGCGTGCCGCGCTACCCCATTCCCATGAATGCTTCCCTATTCATCAAACCGTCCGGAGTGGCATTCTCTATCGCTGCTCCTCCTCCCGTCAAACCCTCCTCACCGACCATCACTCCTGGTGGCGCAGAGGTCAAGGCTGGGCGCAGACGCAAGTCGGAGAAGAAAGAAGCCCCTCCGCCGTCAGCACACAATGTCGATGGGCACATGTTGTCAGGTGATATCGATCTCGTCGGCGCAGACACTATGCTCAGATCGAAGATCTATGCTGCCAAGGCACTGGGCGAGCTGCTCTCCTTTTGGGACAAACATGAGCTGCCTTCATTCTGGCCCGCAATTTTGGACGGCTTTTCCCTTCCCGCATCCACCTCCCAGCTTGCATCTGCCATGGTCGTGGAAGAATATGCCCGGGCCTCTGGGCGTGAAAGCAAGTATTCGGCATCTCTGTGTGAGCGACTGCGTCCCATCATTGAAAGCGAGCGCCCGCTCTGGTATTCCGATATCTCCTGCTACCTACACGTTGCACGCGCACAGTGTCATTCGCTGTTGAATACCTTCCGCGACCACGGTCACGTCCCGCCCTCCCGTTTGCCAACATTGGCTGTTGTTGTTCAGGGCGATCCCGGAGCTGGTCCCAATGCATTCTCTCTGGCCGATGCCGAGAAGATTATTGGTCCGGACTTTGACCGATTGAAGAAGAACCTCACCCCAGCCCAGCGTATTACAGCAACCCAGGTTCTGACCGATACTCGCACTACGGCGCAGTACGCGGTCGATGAGGCGCGGGCTATGAGAGAACAACGGGATATGCGTGTCCTGGCAGCAGCAGCAGGTGCATTGGTTGCTCTACGAGATATTCCTAAGAAGCCTGGCCACATCATCAAGGGTATCATGGACAGCGTCAAGAAAGAAGAGAACGTTGAACTTCAACAACGGTCTGCAACTGCAATTGCAAGCTTGATCGAGCACTACACGGCCGCAACAAAGCGTGGGCCGGTGGACAAGATCATCGGAAACCTGGTCAAATATTGCTGTGTGGATACTTCTGAGACGCCCGAATTCCCGCACAACGCTCAGCTGGAGAAATCAATATTGTCGCTTCGCAAGGAAGAGGACCGTCGAGACCACGCCGATGCTGCGAAGTTCGAGCGGGAGGCCAAGGAGGCTCGAATCATGCGACGGGGTGCCAAGGATGCCCTGGAGCAATTGACAATTAAATTTGGCGCACAACTCATGGAGAAGATTCCTAACCTGGCATCCCTGGTTGAGCGGCCCCTGAAGGAAGCCTTGGAAGGCGACCTCCCCGAGACCATCACAAATCCCGAGAACGAGCTTGGCCAAGAGGTTGTGGATGGTCTCTCCACTCTTCGTGCCCTTCTTCCAAAGTTCGATCCTGGCCTTTACCCTTGGGTCATTGGTCTGATGCCGCTCATTGCCAAGGCCTTACAGTGCCGGTTGTCTGTGATTCGCTATGCAGCTGCTAAGTGCTTCGCGACGATCTGCAGTGTCATCACCGTCGATGGCATGACGATGCTGGTCGAGAAGGTACTGCCAACAATTAATAATGCCCTCGATGTCCACCACCGCCAAGGTGCTATTGAATGCATCTACCATCTGATACATGTCATGGAAGATGGTATTTTGCCTTATGTTATTTTCCTAGTTGTCCCCGTTCTTGGTCGCATGAGTGATTCCGACAATGATACCCGATTGCTGGCTACCACCTCTTTCGCGACTCTCGTCAAGCTGGTTCCCCTGGAGGCAGGTATCCCTGACCCTCCTGGTCTGTCCGAGGAGTTGCTCAAGGGCCGCGACCGAGAGAGGAAGTTCATGTCGCAGATGCTTGACGTGCGTAAGGTGGAGCCCTTCCAGATCCCCGTCGCCATCAAAGCCGAATTGCGTTCTTACCAACAAGACGGTGTCAATTGGCTTGCTTTCCTTAATCGTTACAATCTTCACGGCATTCTTTGCGACGACATGGGTCTTGGTAAGACTCTCCAGACTATCTGCATCGTCGCAAGTGATCACCACATGCGAGCGGAGGAGTTTGCCAAGAGCCAAGCTCCGGATGCTCGTAAGCTTCCGAGCTTGATCGTTTGCCCACCCTCTCTCTCTGGTCACTGGCAACAGGAGGTGAAGCAATATGCACCATTCCTGAATTGTGTCGCATACGTTGGACCCCCGTCAGAGCGTGCCAGACTTCAGCCCATGCTTTCAGAGGCCGACGTGGTTGTGACATCCTATGACGTCTGCCGTAATGACAATGACCTCCTCAACGCTATCAATTGGAATTACTGTGTCCTTGACGAAGGCCATCTCATCAAAAATCCCAAGGCAAAGATCACTCTGTCCGTGAAAAAGTTGATGAGCAACCATCGGTTGATTCTTTCCGGCACACCGATTCAGAACAACGTGCTGGAACTATGGTCACTGTTCGACTTCTTGATGCCCGGCTTCCTTGGTACCGAGAAGGTCTTCTTGGACCGATTTGCTAAGCCCATCGCGGCTAGTCGCTTCAGCAAATCCTCGTCCAAAGAACAAGAGGCCGGTGCTCTGGCAATTGAAGCTCTGCACAAGCAGGTGCTGCCATTCTTACTTCGTCGTCTGAAGGAAGAGGTCCTGAACGATCTGCCACCCAAGATCATTCAGAATTACTACTGCGACCCAAGTGATCTTCAGAAGAAGCTCTTCGAGGACTTCTCCAAGAAGGAGCAGAAGGAGCTTCAAGAGAAGGTTGGCAGCACAGAGCGCTCCGATAAGGAGCACATCTTCCAGGCACTGCAGTACATGCGCCGTCTGTGCAACTCGCCCGCTTTGGTGGTCAAGGAAGGCCACAAACAGTACAATGAAGTTCAGTCCTACCTTTCTGCTAAGCGCTCTAACATTCGAGATGTGTCACATGCACCGAAGCTCGCTGCCCTGCGTGACTTGCTCGTTGACTGCGGAATTGGTCTCGATCACTCGGCTGAAGGAGAGTTGGACACTGGCGCAAGCTATGTCAGCCCTCACCGTGCCTTGGTCTTCTGTCAGATGAAGGAAATGCTTGACATTGTGCAAAACGATGTTCTCAAGAAATTGCTCCCGTCTGTACAGTACCTTCGCCTGGATGGTGGTGTCGAGGCGACTAAGCGCCAGGACATTGTCAACCGCTTCAACACCGATCCAAGTTACGACGTCCTGCTGTTGACCACCAGCGTTGGTGGTTTGGGTCTCAACCTCACTGGAGCTGATACGGTCATATTTGTTGAGCATGACTGGAACCCGCAGAAGGATATCCAGGCCATGGATCGTGCTCATCGTATCGGCCAGAAGAAGGTCGTTAATGTGTACCGTTTGATCACCCGGGGTACTTTGGAGGAGAAGATCTTGAAGTAGGTCCCTCAACTTCTTTTTGTAACTTTTGACCACCATGACTAACATGAATTTCTTTACAGCCTGCAACGCTTCAAGATCGACGTCGCCTCCACGGTGGTTAATCAACAAAACGCCGGTCTTGGCACTATGGACACAGACCAGCTCCTCGATCTCTTCAGTCTTGGCGAAACGGCAGAGACAGCCGAAAAACCAGCTGAGCCCGCCGGCAACGAAGTCGATATGGTCGATATCGATGGCGAGGTCAAGGAGAAGGGTAAGAAGGGTTGGCTCGATGACCTCGGCGAACTGTGGGACGACCGACAGTACCAAGAAGAGTATAATTTGGATTCGTTCCTCGCAACGATGCAAAATTGATACTTCTCTCGGCCCAAGTCTAGCAGTCCTTAATGAGCGACACTCGACCGCGATGGCCTAGATCCCGGCCGCACTCGTCTTCCTTCAACACCCTACACCACGATCGTCACGCCTCACATTATTTCTCGCATTTGCTTTCTTCCCCAAAAATAATCCTTTGTGCATCAATCAGCGAATAGTTTTTTTCTTTTACCACTTTTTCTTAGGAAGGGTACCTGGGCTTTACGAACGAACAGATATCTTCTCTGCGACGTGGACTTTCTTCAACCCCTTCCGTGTATTTTTAACTTTTGAACTTGCCTTCCACGACGAATGATATCTTGCATGTAAATAGATAAGGCGGTGATCTTTTACAACGTTACTTTCTCAATCTGTTTTCGTAGACAGAATCTAATTGCTGGACTGAGAACTCCCACGACCTTTCATTTTCATACCAGGCCATCCTGCAATATGCCTTGTTCAGGCCATACTGGACGTCATTTGTGTTCAACCTTTTCAACTGCTATCAATAAGGCCAGCGATTTGAAACCCTGAGATACGCCTGTAGATGGTAAAAAAGAATCAATGTGTGGCCTTCGCTACCGATTCAGAAGACACTGTTATGTACATCTTTCCGGTCCATTCATCGCAGATAAGTTTCGAGGAGATGGTCATATTAGACTGGATACCGAACCACCCCAGCCGTTTTATCGACAAGTCAAACGACGAGACACTTTCTAGACCTAAATAGTCGTAAACGAGGAATATAGTGACCGGGCAAGCTCGACAAAATTAGAGTCCTGATAGAACTTCAAACCTATCTTGCAGATACCATCAACCAAGACGTGTTCTCACGGTTAGCGTCGCGGTCCGCTCGATCGAGACTCTGAAAGTATCCTTACACCGGCCAATAATTTTCATATCTTGAGATATTCACTGGAAAAACGCTCTTGAATCAAGAATTCTGCGTTAATAGTAAATAAAGGCATTATAAACCTCAAAAGCAGAATTAAAAGGTAGTAAGCTACAACAAGACATCCAAGGGAGCACACACTATCATGATGGACCTCGTCATTGTTACCTTTAATACACGAAGTCGACCCCAAAGTTCTCCTAAGATTAGAACAGCCCAGAGTACGTCTACTCACAGGTTGGTAGATTATGTCCCTTGTTGGAAGACAAAACTCTGTGAAATCATGTGTAAAAAAGAGATAAGTGTGGCCGTAAGCCAATGCATTATTCATTTCATACAGGAGAAGTTCAAGTTCCTATGGGCTGTCAAACCAACACACCAAACAGAACATTCAAACGGCTAAAATATTCCGACAATAAGAAGAACTCCCACTGCAGTAACGTCGTGATGGCGCGCCGACCAACATTTCCCGAAACAGTAATTGTGAATGAATCCCAGACGCCGAATTTTCCCCACAGAAGCCCCCTTGAAACGAGAAAAGCAGATCAACTGGAGAATAAGAATGAAACACATGAGTGAGAATCGACCGAATCAACGGAGCCCATAGATACTCAACAAACAGGAAAATTTTCGAGTCGATCGATGTCTCTGCGAAAGGCGGTGACAGGGATTAACCCAAATGTGAAATGTGGAAGATAGACATGGATAGAATCGAAATTGAGCGGTGAAATGCTTGTATTCGCTGGGAATTCTTCCGGAATACCGCACCTCAATACTTGGATCAACGCACCAGGCGCCTGCCCGACCAAAACAATCTGCTCAGGATTGGCCCTTGGGCTTGGCGAGCATGTTCAAACGGCTGAGGCTGAGGACGCCGCGGGACTTTTGTTTCGCACTAGCAGCTGCACTGGAAGGAGTGCCAACACGAGCGGACGACAAGCGAACAGGGGTGTTGACGGGTCGAGATTTGATAGGGCTCGGGGTGGGCGGAATCGACTTCTTCAGCCTCTTAGTGCTGCGTTCATCCGCTAGCGAGTTAGCCGGAGGAACATTCTCGACATCTTCAGCATTCGGTAGGTCATCGTCGTCGTCAACTTCGTCTCGGTGTCTCTTCTTGTTGCCAATTCCGTGAGCGATACCATGAGCTACAACCGGAAGCTCAGGGTACACAGATTCCTTCTCGCCGGCGTTAGATTTGCGGACGTGTCGACTTGTAGGTGACAGAATGGTGTCAGGCTGAGCTGCGCTAGAAGCCGCAGCATTATGGTCTGGAGTGAGAGTAGGGAGAGTAGGGTAGACGATATCGGATAGGTTAGAACGGGAGGGAGTGGTGGGAATCTTGGACCGGGAAGGCGACGCATGGGCCAGGTCATAACGAGACTTGATGCTGGGGGTGAACTCAACATGCTTCTTTGGCGATGGGCTTGGTACGGAATCAGTCGTGTCATTCCGTGTGCCAAAGAGCGAGTCAGGGTTGAAGTCGGGGGCAGCCACATGCGTCCCAGCGGCAATTTTGGAAGGATCACGGGAGAACAGGGGCTGACGCTTGCGAAGAATGGACTTGAGGTGGCTCAATGTGGGTAAGCTGCTCTTGAATCGCGGATTGAATTCAGTTCGCGGAGTGCGAGGAGATGCAAGGCCTTTAGTGGAGGGGGATCGCGCCAAAGAAGGGATCAAGGATGTCTTGGGAGCCTTGATACTGACAGATCCGGAGCGCGCCATTGAAGCCCGGGTCGGTGTCATGAGAGAGCTGGTGATTCTTGGCCGAGGACGAGGACCAGCAGGTTTTTGTGTCGTAGCAACCTTGGCTTCGACCTCAGGGCGGACAACTGAAGAGTTGGTGTTTGGATTGGGCTTGGCGCGCTTGGCTGTAGGGGTTGAGGTCGTAGCCACGGTTTCTGTCGATGGCTTCGCCGCAGGTCGTGATGGAGAGGAGTTCTGAGGCTCGGGCTCGTCAAGTTGTGCCTTCGATTTGGTACGCTTCAGAGACTTTGTCACGGGCTGGAAGCGATCTGGTGCAGCGCGGAAAGAGGAAGGGTGTCCTGCAATCGAGTCCATCTTCTTGAACTCGGCCATGTGCACGTCACTGAAGCGGCTAGCCTTGCCCTTGGGCTTTGCAATCTTTCGGTCGCCGTGCATGTTCTCGGCTTCATGATCTTGCTGGTCCTGTTTCGACTTGTCAAGAATCATCTGCGCTTTGATTCGTGCAACTTCACCACGAACACTGTCCATCAATTGCTTGGCTTCGTCGCTGAGCTGAGACTCTTGGCCGCGCTTGAACTCGTAGCCCGGAGTGCCGAACTGGGTGGGTGCTGGTGAGGCCTTCGACTTGGATGGGGTGTATTGAATGGTGGGATTCTTGACAATATTGCCATTGGCATCCTTTTGAATTGGATTGAAGCCTAGGATCAATCCCGAGTCGACCCTTTTGGTCGTGCTCTGGTGTGCCTTGCTAGGATGCATTTCCTCGGGAGGTGGACGAACCGCCGAGCTGGAAGTAGGGGTTCTGGCATCCGTCATTTTGCGATGTGAAGTTGCGGTGGGAGTTCTCTGGATACTGTTCTTGGTGACCGGGGTGCGGATGGAAGAGTGGTCATCGCCAGGAGTCTCATCGCGTTCTTCGACAGACGCGAGTCTGTATCTGATATCGGGTTGAGAGACTGACTCTTGAGCCTATTTCCATGATCTCGTGTTAGCTGATACCACCGAAGCTTTAATGGCATCCTGCACTCGTCCGGTGACGGGCGTTGCCAGGGCACACTAACCTCAGGCCCGGGAGATGGCTGGGCGCTAGCACTGCGCAGGCGTGCGGAGCGGCGGACCGCCATGACTGAAGTCGATAGGAATTTGGACACAGAAGCAAATTTTAGCAGTTTCGAGATGTGTGATTCGAGAACCGTGAAAGACAGATCGAGGGTGGAGCGGAGGTGGTGTCGGTGAGATGATGTTTGTGGAAGTCAAGATGGTCAAATGTAAACAAACGCGTTTGACGTCACATGACTAAGCAGGTCTACCCCTTTGTGAAACCCTCCATACGCGCTGTATTACATACACACCTCAGCATGCTTTTCTCTTCGTATACTTTGTGCTCCTCTATTTTCCTTCTAGAAGAATCAATTGTTCAATCAGCATAGTCGAGATAACATGCTTTGAATCCGATTTTCTTGGGGGAGCTGAGATGTCCAGGCTACGACTATCCCATTCTCCAGAAAATTCCCTTTAGCCGTGTATACTGTATTTTGATGATGGCCTTACGGCTGATTCTGAGAGCTCCACGAATGCTATTCTGTCTGCGGATTGTTGATAGGTTGGCCGAGTGCACAGATCGGGTGGGCTCATCTCGTCTTCCCGGCTGGCTGATGCCCCGCCATTTTCATTTCACGCCAACTGTCAACTTCCACACTCCGATTGCAAGTCCCAGTGGCTTGAACTCTCCAGGTAGTCATACTCAAGGTATATCCGTTGCAAAATCCATTACAGCCTCCAAATAAGACAGAATGGAGTTTCCTGAGCCGCACATCCATCCTCCACGTGAGAAGCACACCCATACGGCCATTTTTTTACATGGCCGGGGAAGCAATGGCCCAGAATTTTGTAATGAGCTCTTCACTTCCTTGACCACAAATTTGAAGAACCTACCGGACAGCCTTCCAAGCTGGCGCTGGGTGTTCCCAACTGCGAAGACGCGTTTTAGTTCGAGGTTCCGAGAAGACCAATCAGCCTGGTTTGATGTCTGGTCTATTGACAATACGGAAGATCAAGAGGAATTATCGGTGGACGGACTACGGGAATCAGTCTCTTACATCTTGAAACTCCTCGCTGATGAGATCGAGCGAGTCGACGGAGATGCCAGTCGTGTCTTTCTCTGCGGGATCAGTCAAGGCATGGCGACCGCACTCTGGACCTTCCTTTGCGCTGCCGGGCAGATCAATCAACCTCTGGGCGGAATAATTGGGTTCTGTGGCTGGCTACCCTTTTCGCACAAGGCGGAAGACTTGACACGGCGGCAACAGGCGCTGGAACTATTACACCAAAACGGCATCAATCAGTCCTTGATCGAGTCCAGTAAGCTTGACAACAAGCGACAGATGTCCAAATTGTTTCGTGACATTATTGCCGGTCCTAACCTCCCTGAAATTGACGCCTCGACGGATATCTCAATCCTGTCAACCCCAGTGCTTCTGAGTCATGGGAGAGATGACCCAGTAGTCTCGATACGACTAGGCCACCAGGCATACAGAATCTTGAAGCATTTGGAGGTGCCAACGGAATGGCATTATTACAGCGGTGCTGAGGCAAATGGACACTGGATTAAGGAGCCCCAAGGGTTTGATCTAATCATTGAATTCATCGAGAAACAGCTTCACCGTGGCACATGAGCTTGGCTTCTGTGAGCCCCATTTCTGAGTGTGACATACTCCGCTAAAATTTCGGACTTGAGACTTGATAAATTTCTGAACACGCAGCGGGTCAGACAACTACATGTCCTAAGGATCTCAGGAGGGTTCCGTACTTTCAGCTGGTCTCATGTAAATCAAAGCTGCCTGGGCACACCCTTTTTTTCAAGACCAGCGAACAAGCGAGATGTTGATGCATCTGCAGATAATGATCCACATTCTGCTCTAGTCTTCCATTTGGTGTTCGTTCTAAGACCTATTTCTCGTGGCTGAGTATCCAATGATAATTGCATAGAAACGAATACAGATTTCCAAGATCGTTTTGATGAAGTAAATGAATTCTCGGGAGCTTGTATTCTCATGTTACAAGACGCTCTTTGGGAAGTCTAAAAATATGGATACAGGCCTCACGGATTGAGGGACTGTTGGGTTAGAAAATGAATTACTCGCGCGAGAAACGAATATCAATCACGGCGTCATTGACTGTGGGTGGTCCAACGTATTTCCTGTATCCCCAGGCCCAGTACCAAACGGTAGCAATAAGGATAAATGCGACGAAGACCACGGGGGCATAGTTGACGGTTTCTGCGGTGACTGGAATCGCAGAGGGCATGCAGAATAGGGGAACAGCCAGTACGCTCCAAGCTGGCAGAAGTCAAGAAAATTAGCATATGCGACCACCAAACGGAGAAAATGGTTGGATCATACCTAAGGCTACGACATTGCACACCGCTCCTAATTTGCCCAGATCAAAGTCGCCATGCTTGATCTGCTTACGGCCACCCATGAAGGACACTGCTATGGGGCATGCGTAGCTGACGGTCAAGGTAATGACGCCTACCCCAGAGAAGGCGTTGAAAGCAGTGGTGGAGCCAAAATAGATCAGTCCAAGAGCAATCTCCACTACCATACCTAGCATCATAGCATTGAAGGGAACGTCTAGGCTTTTGTTCACTTGCCTCCACTTGCTAGAGTATGGAATACCGCCATCTCGTGCAAATGCCCAAATAGATCGCGAAACTGTAGTTGTACATCCAATACCGCAAATGAGGGCAAGAACAATCAGGGGCAGCAAGAGGAGAAATGCGCCCGTCGAGTTACCAACAGCAGATTTCATAATAGTTGGGACTGGCTGACCTGACACAAGGGCAATCAATTCTTGGCTGTCGGGGAGTACAAATACCAGGGGAATGAGGAATAGGAATCCAGCGAGGGTATTCAAGATGACAGTACCAACAATGGCTTTTGGTACTTGCTTCGATGGATGTTGGACTTCCTCACACATGCTATGAGATTGTAAGCCCATATCCTATAGGGGGTTGCCTCCAAAATGGAAGTGTAGAAATTAAAAAGAGCGGTAAAGGGTACGCACGAGATAACCATTCCGGTCGAGGATGTTGTATACGCAGCCTGTAGAAGGCCAACACAGAAGGACCACCCAACGGGCCAGCCTGATTGAGGTTCAAAGTTTCCAAACACATATTCAGCATCGTGTCTACCGTTCTTGGCAACGACCAAGGTGCAGATGACAACAGCGAGGACTCCAGCGAAAGTCCAAAAGATGGCAAATGTCTGGAAGGGATGTCAGCATGGGAGACTGAGGCCTCAGATCTTGCAAAAGACTCACGTCAATATAAGGTAACCACTTGTTCGCCATGGAGGAGACTGCATTGCATAGAAGGGTAATGGCCAGGAAGATCAGGAATGTCTGGTATGCTGTAGCTTCAAAAACCCCGACTCCAGGTGAAACCTCAAAAACGTTCACGCAAGCAATGAGAAATTGGGCTGAGCCAAAATTCACAGCAAGAGTTATCATGACGTTTCCTACCACATATGCCCAGCCACAGATCCAGGCAATAATTCGGCGACAGGATGGTGGAGACAGCATGAAGGACTGGTAGTAGACGCCACCAGCGGTGGGATATACAGAAGTAATCTCACCAAGAGATAGTGCAACACAGAGGATAATTATTGAAACAATCAACCAGCCCCAAATGATATTCACAGGGCCACCTCCCACGAGGGGATATATGAAAGTGGTAGCTAATCCATAAGGGATGGATGCGAGAACGAAGGACATGAAGGCTACCTGAAGAGTTGAACGGTTCCTGGTGAGCTCAGGCTCATAGCCTAGGGCTTCGAGCAAGCCGTTCGCAGCGACGGGCTCTGATTGACCAAGCTCCGTATCGTCTTTCATTTTCTCGTCCTTGGAAAGGTGTGATTTGGATTCTGAGCCCTGGTACTCATGTGTCTCGAGATTGGTTGCCATTGTGAAAGAGGACCAATTGGGTGCAATCTGTGATAGTAATATATTCAAAGCCGATCCATGCAAAGATGGAAGGATGAATTACCAAAGTATGAGCCCCATAGGCTGAAAATGTACGGTTTATATAACAAGAGATATATTAGCACGGCTCAGCCGGATATCAAAGGTATCTCTAGCCCAGGAAACTCTATTTCTTACACATCGTCATGTAGATAGGCAAGAAATTGTAGATAGTCTCTACCCCGCATTTTAGTTGGCGGTAGCGCTTTCAATATCTATATTCCCTGCCCTACATAAAGTTAAAGTCAAGCTGAACAAATGCCGCCTACTATCGTCTGGTTACTCATCCTCATAATACTTTCAGGATATGTCGCATATTCTACTGAGATGTTGAGTATTACATTCATTTGGTCTCTTTGTTGGCTCCTTACTCAGGGGGCTCATGGATACGGTACGACGTTACCGATGCACCGACCAGTTGATGAAACCACGTTGGTTCTTCGTAAATGATTCAGGGGATAGGTTAGCAGATGCCTATCGGCCCTTTCTGATTCGACTGTGAATGATGACGCAAGTACGACGCGGAGGAATACCGAAAATATACTCAAAGTCACAACAGTAAGGTACAACAGTGATCGGTGCTTAATGAACAGCCCCCATAATGCGGCCTCTCATGCGCGCCACGGTTTCTGTAAAAAGGGTTGCAATGGGCTGACGGATCTGCCCACTAGTAAGTACGAGCCAATCGCGAAGAAACCGCCCCAATCACCCCCAGTGATAAGCCAGTGTGATGGAGAGAGACTATCGGATAAGATATGTGCTTGATGGCCCAGAGTTGGACCAAGATTCTTGCGAGAATTGACTTACGGTAGTATGCCCCACAGAGTGGAGAGATGTTGTATGATTCTAGGTATCCACTGATACGGCTCAGTGGAGGTCGATCGAGCTGTATAGATATTCCATAAGCGGTTTAAACTTCCCATGTGTGCGAGGAATAAGATTGTGAGCCGCTTCAAAATGTGGAACAGGGTCCACCTCCTCAAGATATGGGATGTCAGTTCCTGACTTGGTTGCCAAGCAGCGCGGTTACGCTAATGCACAGCGGCTACGCTAACCCCGAGCTTCCATGGTTTGCCACTGCGATCCGTTAAGGGGCCCCGGCGCAGGCCGCATTTAATGCGGGTACGCGGAAGTCAAAGAAAGAGATATGATGAATATAATATGCTCAACATAGTGCCAGAGATGTCTTGGAATCACAGAATCACTCCGAACAAGCTTCCGAGGCAAACTTGGATGCGGGTACCAACCTACTGGATGCAGGTAGCCGTAAGTGGCTTCCAATTGACGCGAATCTGATGATAAGAGCGGCCAGGAATCAGAGACAAGGGTTTATGCTAGTAATCGTAAAGCAGTGATTCGAAATCAACAATATCTCGCTGTCCGTTGGCCTACCTGACATCGCCGGGATTTTTTCTTAAAAGTCTTCTATGCTCTCCTGGACTGATATCTTGGGTCCTAATTTGCGGTCACAAGCCAGACCAGCCATTATCTGTCTAGCCCTGCTAGAATTGTGCGTGAATGACAAATTTTAATAAATCTTCGAGATATATCAGCATGACAAATCCTCATCTTTGATGGCCAAAGAAAGACCGAGTGGCGATGGCCATTATCATCTTCTTCCACAACTGGAACGATGTCCGCTCTCCAAGGTTTGAGTTCTTGGCATGTCAAAGTATGAGTCTTTGGAGTGACTTCATGCTGCTAGCGAGACTGGAGAAGGCCAGCCTCGAGGCAAAATATTGTCCCTAAGAAATTTTCTATTCTCGGGCAAGAAATGGTCGAGGTTGCCAAAATTTAAAGGCTTGAATCCGCAATTTATCTTCACCAAATATGTGACATGTCATTCAAATGGTGGTCTGCGCGTACGAGTTTGGGTACTCGGACTTGTCTTATTCCGTCATCGTCCTGACAGACCGCACGAGCTATTGCAAAGGATTGAGGCAGATGCACTGCCCGTGGCCACCGAGCAATGGGCAGATTATTCAGACTTGCCAACGATCTTAACCCTACAAATAGTCACTTTTATCTTTAGTTATAGTAACAGCGTGTGTGAATATACTAACAATTCATCAATAGACTCTGCTCAAAAAAAATGCAATTGCTCTCTTGGGACAGCTTGCAGCTTACGATGCACATTTGCTTTTCTTCCCTACTTCTTCCAAGCAATCAACAAAGCATGCGATCACGGCGTATTTACAATCTATCTCATCCAGATGCATGATGTAAATGAGGCTACTTGATCTCGGGGCAGCATAAAACCCACGCGGCTTCCCTCCCGATTGGTTAGTGTATTCAATCGCCCAAATAGGCAATAGAACCCGCCGCAACATGCGGATGAGGCCACGCGCTCAGGTAGAGGGGTAGGAGGCTATTAGATAATCCTTAGCGGAATCTGACACGAGAGATTCCTCGAGGTATTATTCTAATCACCGCCAAGTTGATGTGCGCAACGAACTGGTAAATCTGCAACAAGATCCGCCTCAAGCCGGATATGCGGGGTAAACGGCGAGGAAACCAAGCCGAGCCGATCACCTGAATGCGCCACAAGGAAGACAGACTCCGCACAGCAACGGGTGGAGTGCTCTTGGGGGAGCGAGGGGAATTGCATTTCCTCCAGCTCGATGAAAGCAATGCATCACGTCAACAAGAGCACGGCCATGCCTCGGTCTGACAGACAGAAGAACCCAAATCGATGCAGACCCAAATCCAAAGGAGGTTGTCTTCGATGCAAACAACGGCGAGTAAGTTGGAATAAACATACTGAGGTCTTGTCTCCATGTCAAATTAAATTTATCCACTAACATATCACCCAGCGCAGATGTGACGAGACAAAGCCTAGCTGCCAGGAATGTTTGAAGAAGGGCTTCTCCTGTCCGGGCTATCAAAAGAAACCTCTTGAATGGCGTTATGTCTTCAAAGAGGAAGAGCAGCATGATAAGGATCAGGTAGATCTCTCGCCTCCAGAAGAACTACCATCCTCAACTTTGTCAAAGCAGGAGCATTCAAACGCCAAGAGCCAAACAATCGAGGCGGGCCAAACCAAAGAGCTGCAAGAGCTTTGGGACGAAGCCAGCTCAACGTTCTTTGATCAGCTACCGGATGTTGACCCGTCAGCTGGTAGAGGTGCTAATCTGGGACGATTACCAAAAAGTATTGCGACCATCAAGGATGCTGCGGAATCGGATGACAGCCTGGTGATTCTGCGGCGGCGAATTGCAAACACCCCAATACCATCCTTCCTGGTTCAAATGCCAGCAATCCTGGTACAACACTATTTTGATTACGTGTGCAAGGCATGGTCATCCTTTGACTCGCCTTTGAACCCATTTCGCCTCATAGTCAGCCGTCTCTGGAGTCGGAACGCCGCCATCTACTATGCCATTCAGAGCATGGCTGCGGCTTCACTGGCCAACGATCTTCCAGGCATAAGGGCCATTGGGAGACAGACACAGCAGCAAGCTATTGCCTGTCTTCGCAACAACCCACGTATTGGAACTTTGCATCGAGATAATCAAGACGATGAGTTCTTCTTGGCTCTGCTCATGATCGGACTGACTACAGCCTGGCATGACGCTGCTGACCTTGGGCTAGAATACCTCAAGCAGGCAAAGGATCACCTTGACAAACAGCAGAAAATGTGTCAAAGCCCTGATTCGCATTTTGCCAAGCAGTACCCATTATTTCAACAATGTCTCTTGTATTGGAACATGCTAGCTGCATTTGTTGCAGAAGACTCTCTACTTCTCAACGAAGAGAGTGTCCTCGAGCGGCCTGATCCGGAAACGTCTGTCTACTTGATCGATGGTCAGACGCTCCCACATCCTTGGACTGGTCCACTTTCCAAAGCACTGAGGTTGTTTTACCAAACAGCCCGGGTGGTTCGAGCGGCCCGCATCTCCCATCGCACCCGGGTTGATAACGTTGATTTGGCTACGTTCGATTTTGACTATTTGGTTGAAGAGATTGAGTTGCGGCAGAAAGCTGAGCGCCTGGAGGAAGATGTGCTATTCACAGGACTTTCGTCCTACTGTGGACCAGTAGACATTGGAGACACAAATACGCCTCCTGCTCATTTCATAATCTTGGCTGAAGCCTATCGCTGTGCGGGGCTCCTACAGATCTATCATGTCTTCCCAGACATTCTTGATGATCGGTTGCGTCTCAATCATAGACCCGACGCAGATACTCCAGCTCTTTTTTCCGTCTTATTCCCCGAGGATTCCCCTGCCCAGTCCCCAGAAGATATGCGTCGCATTTTAGCGTTACACATTGTTTCACTTCTTGACCAGCTTCCATCTACATCTGGAACCCGCTTCATGCAGCTTGTGCTCCTAACTTGCATCTCTAGCGATCTTGTGTTTTCCAATCAATCTATCTTTGGCCAGGGGGCGAACCCCCTCGCCTGTCTGAACACTCTGGATGTTGATGTTGCCCAAGGAAGGCGGCGAATTAATACTCGATTGTCAGAGCTTACCTTGATTGTCCCCAAGTTACCCATGCAGCGCATTTCTGGCATTGTGCATGAGGTTTGGGACAGAGCAGACTCGGGCTTGGAGACTTACTGGCTGGACTTGATGATTGAACGGAATCTTGAAACGATAATGGGTTAATGCCTCTAGACATCTTAGAATATATGAACGATGAACGACGTTTAATTCTAGGCCGTGGAGATACCGTTTTGTGCCCTCTTCCAAGTGTGATTCAATGCTCCCCTGTTGTAAAATACCTATATTCTTCGAAACGATTTCGAGACTTTAGCAGGATATCGTGTTTATACCTTTACCGGCCGTACGAAGGAGCTCGAAGCTAGACAAAGATAACGATCGGTTCCCGCCAAGCGCATCTCGCTGCCGACATCGGTGGAAGAGCCCGAGGTAGAAATTGACCCGTTCCCACGACACTTCCCAAGTTTCCGTCAAGTACCGTGCAATTACGCCGAAAGAAGGAAGTTCCCTACACTGTTTCTCAACAATGCCCGAAATTATCGTTGCACTAGACGTTTGCCAGCATGATATGCCGGCCTTCCGTACCCCGCACACTCTTATCGAATACCATAACACGAAAGGAACTGAGGTAGCAGAGCGTCTCCGTCATGCCACTATCGCCGTGACTTCTGCGGTCCCTATTACCGCCGAAACCGTTGCTCAATGCGCTCATCTCAAACTCGTCTGCGTGTCAATTGTCGGAGTTGATCACATCGATGTTCAGGCATGTCGGGCGCGCGGAATCCGCGTCTGTAGTACACCCGCAGCGACTACAGAAGCCGTTGCCGAACATGCAATTGCGCTGTATTTCGCTGCCAAGCGAAATATTGTTCGGGCGCATAACTGGGTGCTTTCTGGGAAGGAGTGGGAGCTTGAGCCAACGGGGATGACTGCCTATGACCGATTACCCACTCCCATTAGCCAAGATACAATGGGGCTCGTCGGCTATGGCAAGATTGGTAAGTTCTGTATGGGGAGTTTGTTCAAGGACGCTCCAAATCTGGCCAGCGGGGACCGTCGCTAATGTCTACGGGTTATTCAGGGAAACAGATTGAAAAATTTGCGCGAGCTTTAGGTATGAACGTCTTGATCGCAGACAGACGGGGAATACCCGATGCGAGCATCCGAGATGGACGCTCTGCGTTTGAGAATGTGCTTCGGCAATCGACCGTTCTCGTGTTGACTTGCCCGTTGGACGAGTCGACGGCCAATATGATATCCGAAAAGGAGTTGCAATTGATTCAGTCATCTGGTATCGTGATCAACGTCGGCCGAGGGGGTCTTGTCAACGAAGAAGCTATAGTTGCGGCCCTGAAGGCCGGAAAGATAGCCGGCTATGCAACGGACGTATTCCCGGTCGAGCCAGCCACCAAGCAGAATAGTTTATTGCTCTCCAGTGACATCCCAAATTTGACATTGTCACCACATTTGGCCTGGTATAGCTCGAAGAGCATCGAGCGTCAGCAAGCCAGCATTCAAGCGATCGTGGATGGATTCGCAAGTGGGAATTGCGTGAATGTGGTTTGTTAGTGACGCGACGCGACGCGCATCAGGAAACCCGCAATCTTGGTGGAACCACAAATGGCTGGATCGCCGTATTTCTGGGCCTTCTGGATCCCTCAACCATAGGTACCTACAATAGACATAGCATACAGAGAGTGGAAATCACTCAAAACCGAGAAATCTCCTACAGTACTCCGTACTTAACTACAGGATCTCAATCCAATGCAGGTCTTGTAACTTGACGCTACTCTCCCACGCAAGCCCCGCAGTTCTCCTCTGTTTCGGCTTTTGCTGGAGTAGGTTCATCGCCGGGGCACGCTTGCAAGATGACGCTAACGACAGATAACAGATATGCGTGCGTACAAGACGACAACCGCGAGTCCTTGGGATTTTTGTAAGCACAAACTGAGGAGGTGCAGAGAAATAATGTATAAAACATTCGATACTCTGTTCGACAGATAGCCTAGTGTAAGCTTGGCCTGCAACGGGGCACGGCTTGTAACGTAGCCCATTACCCGTGGCACCTCCGAGGATCTATGACTGGCCGGGTCCTGCGAAGGCTCAATGAATCTATCCATGCGGCTGTCGCAACATGAATTAAAACAGGCAAATAAGGAGAAAAGAGAGCATCATTAATATTGACATATATAATCTTTCGTTTCAAGGTCCTTGGGGGTATTGTACAGGTAAAATCAAAACATGACCGGATACATAGCACTCAGCAGATCAATAGCAATTCGTTCTGGTTCGTAAAGAACTTACTAATCACATCCTGGCCAGGCTCCGACATCCAAAGCTCTTCAAGCTGCCTGAGCGCAGTTGACATCACTCCCATCCCGAAATATTCGACAAGAGATCGTAGATATGACCGAATTATCTCCCTATGATAGGATTTTCGAGCATGAATTCCGAAAGCGAAAAGGGGCCAATTTGCCGTTGTTGCAATGGGAGAATTCGGAGGCAACTGCGATATGATCGAGTTGAGCTTCCAGAATGCGTTGTCGACGATATCATCAGTCGAGTTGCTGGTAAAGCGGTAATCTAGGAGCAACAGTAGACTCTGCTGATAAAGCTCTGCACAAAGCACCAACTCTCGCTGATTGCTACGAGGTTTCCAGTTCTCGATCTGTGCTCTAATGGAATAGTACTCCATCATCAGACCATCTTTACTGGATGTCGTCGACGAGTCGCAAGAGGCAGAATTTCGAAGAAGTGCTGAGACGTGTGGCACCAAGGTGAAGAGCTCGTAGGCGCAGCCACATAGGACACCGATTTCGCGGTCTGCGCCACCGAGGCTTTTCAGCCCCAGGCTAGGGGACATGATTAGAGCCGGAGGAGAGTTCGTAGTAAACGATGCCAGGGCAGCATTGTATACATAAAGCTCAATCGTGAACGATACAATACTGGGCTGGGTGGGCGTTTCAGTAGAGCGTAGCACATGGGCCATTAGATGGTGAGCTCCATCTAGGTGTCGCTGCATGGCTTTTGGGTCGTTGCCCCTTGTGGCCTTTGAATTGCGTGAGCAAGGGATTTAGATTGAGAAGACATAGAAGCAGAAGCACCCACCTCTAGAAGATAAAATATTAAGACAACTAGCAAAGCACGCCAGGCAGCATCTACGTTACTGCCGTCATTGAGAGTCTCTGACAAGTCCATCCTGAGTTGTCGTAGTGCTCGAGTATACCGAGACCAAGTCAAGGATTGCATTTCGAGATTCAGCCGGGGAAGCCGTTGCATCATATGTACGCCCGAAAGGGCCAGGATTGAATTCATTACAAGTTCATCGCTGAGCGCAACCGGCAGGATTGTATGAAGAAACGGATTTTCGCTATCCTGAAGACATGCCAGGCGATTTGCCGTATCTTTCAAGTAATGATCCAATAGCCTCCATGTCTCCGATCCCGAAGCCGCTGATCCTAATAGAGGGAAATTGGATGGGGATGCAGGGATAGTCACGGTTGGCAAGTTCCTGGGGGCACCAATCGTGAGGGCCCACGCGTCAGACGCAGGTACGGGACGGGCAGAGAATGTTTGCGTTTGCTGTTGCGGAGTTGACACTACCTCGGAAGATGCCTCTAGCGGGCTGGTGTCTGGCCAGACACATTTGAGGGCATTGCGCAGGCAAGCCGCGCAGATCGGCTTCGTCTCGTCACATTTTTTCTTGCGACGCCGACAGGACAAACACCCTGAGCGAGATCTAGCCCCCATTTCGGTTCAAGCCATCACGATCGTATCATACGCGGACCCCAGGAGCTGTCTTTGGAGAGGACCATGCATCACGAAGCGGATGAAACTTCTCCAGGACGGGAAGCAGTGTCGTGCTCACTTTCCCCGCTCAGCGTGGCCGACCACGTGACCGGACAAGATGGTCAGTTGAATGTTTCTGCCACCAGCCCACAGCCTGCAAACAAATGGTTGCTTGGTGTAATTCGACTCCTCTAAAAGCCCCAAAGTCTATGCGAAATGCATAGGATATGTACATCAACCCAAAGGGAAAGGGGCCGCTGTGCAGGTGATTCTTCTTGCAGGGTTGTTCTCCACATGACTAGAAGATCGACCTTGGCATCAGGCTCGGTCATTTGCGAATTATGGACCAGCCCATAAGTTCTTGACTAGCCAGACCTTCTGGTTCTGTAGGCGAGCAGAATAATAGCGGGTTATTTGTCTTGGGTCACTCGAGCTAAACGCCGATATGCAGGGATCTAGTGCGATCTTTTGCGGGGCCATTCTCTGATCGCGACCTGTGCGTCTTGGCCAAATGCGTTCGCGAGGAGAGAATCGATTATGCAGCGCGTAAGGCGCCAGCCATTACGGGTTGAAAAATGTCAAAGTTTCCCGAAAAAAGCAAATATCGCAGGATCATTTCCAACAATATCTGGATACACCTCAATGGCCTAGAAGTCGGGAATCCCCCGGGTTGAGCAAAGTACTATTTATAATCGAGCCAGAGCCCAGGCTCACTCGCTGCATGAAACCTGCCTGAATTTTGATGGGCTTAGATCCCAGGAGACGAGCTCTTTTTTTGCTATCTAGTAACAGACCTCTGGTGAAACATTCTGGCTGCTCAGCGAATCGAAGCCAGATATACCATGCCATTCTCACGCTCGATAACCGTCGTCGGGTGCCATGCCGAAGGAGAAGTGGGTGATGTTATTACCGGTGGCGTCTTGGATGTCCCCGGCAAAACAATGTTCGACAAGCTTGTCCATTTCGAAACAAAGAAAGATAGCCTACGTCAACTTCTTCTCAACGAGCCTCGCGGCCGTGCGTCAATGAACACAAACCTCGTACTTCCACCATGCGACCCGCGTGCCGATGCTGGTTTCTTGATCATGGAGAGCGAAGAATATGCGCCCATGTCTGGGTCCAACATTATCTGCACGACGACTGTACTATTGGAAACCGGGATGGTTCCAATGAACGAGCCCGTGACTCAAGTGACGTTGGACACTGCGGCCGGTCTGGTCACGGTCACCGCTGAATGCAAAGCAGGAAAGTGCCAAAGCGTGGAGTTCGACAACGTCCCTTCTTTTGCTCTTGAACTCGACTATAAAGTCAACGTTCCTGGACTCGGGGAAGTAACCGTCGATATTGCATATGGAGGAATGATGTATGTGTTGGTGGATGCCGCTTCTCTCGGATTGATGGTCAGCAATCAACAGGCCCGTCAGCTAGTGGAAATTGCAGAGAGAATCAAACGCGCAACGGAGGCTGCATATACCCCCGTACATCCAGAAAACTCTGGGATCAAGGGATTCAGCGTTTTGGCATTCACGGAGCCTTTGATAATAGAGGATGGCGTGAAAGTGGCCATGAATGCCGTCGTGGTATCCCCTGGGCGATTCGATCGCAGTCCCTGTGGTACGGGGACATCTGCTCGGTTAGCGGTGATGCACTCCAGAGGCCAGATTCAAGAAGGAGAGGTATTCAAGCATCGCAGCATTTTGGGCACTGAGTTCATTAGCCGTGTTCGGGGCACCACAAAGGTCGGGAAATACCCGGCTGTTCTACCAACTGTTAAAGGTCGAGCTTGGATTACAAGCTTCAAGCAGGTCGTCTTGGACTCAGCCGATCCTTTTCCAGAAGGCTTCAGAGTCGGCGACCAGTGGCATATGCCACCCAATTGAGCACCCTTCAATCTCTTCTTACATATGTATGGAGTTTCTCCAAACTGGAAACTGGAATATGCAGACTGAACGTGTTAGATAGGTGCACTGCACGGTCAAATTTTACAATACAATCCAGTCTCAGAGTGGATCAAGTTCTCCATTATATCACTTCTGCGGGAGCTTTTCCGGGCAAGACTGGGGGCAAATCGTATAAGATATATACAAACAGTATTCATTGTCCCACATGTGATTCTCACCTGAAGAATAGTCCATGTGAGGCCCAATTAGAGGGAAAAATTATTCAGTGCTGAGTTATTAGACCATCGACAAATTCTCTAATCGCTACAATTTGTCTCATGGAAAAGCTGTAGGATGAGATCAAGACCGTGGCTATGGTAATCAATTTGAAAACCTTTCAAGAGTCGACTTGGCAGTCCCTAATAGTGAGTCAGGGCATCTTGCCATGATTTGACTCAGAGAAACTATTATGGCCAATGATAGCTGCTTTTGTTGTGGGACGGAATTTACACTAAGCCAATCACAGCCACTTACGTCGTGGTGTGGATCTATAGAAATCTGCAGCGCGGATCATGCAAATTTCGCCTCGAGAATTGAGAAGCCCCGCAAGAAAGGAACGAGGAAAAAGAATCCGTCATTGAGCTATCTTCTCTACAGAGGCCGATTAAGCTGTGCCAAATACTGGGAATATTGACATTGCGGGGTCATTCAAACAGCCTTCATCCTGAAGTAACCCACAGATCCAACTAGTGGCCTAGGGAAATCTGGCTCTTGCTTGGTAACTTGACACTTGGGATCAAGTTGCAGTTTGGGAGTGACTACCAAAGCTGCCCCGTTGATACAGTTTCACGTGTTGAGATCTTCTCCGCATTGGAAATCCCACTTTGAGGGTTGAAGACTATCTATTGCTGTGCATATGCAGAGATTCACAGCTGAGCACGATGAGCAACACTGAGAACATGGCACCCGCTACCACAGATGTGTCACTGGCTGAATCACAGAGGAAGAAGGCAAATACGGAAGGCTCTAATTCGCCTCCATTGTTTCCAACCTCAGATGTCAAGGATTACGACTTGAGCGAGGCCGAACAACAAATCACGGCTGCGGGCGAAGCTAAATACAGTCGCCTGTCTTGGAAGCAGCTTACTTTGATGCTCATTGTCGATGCTATTGCATTGGGTGCTCTTTCTATCCCGCAGGCCTTCGCGACCCTAGGCATGATTGCCGGCGTTATCTGCTGTGTCGGTATTGGGTTGATCGCTGTCTATACGTCATGGATCATTGGCAAGGTCAAGCTGGCCTTTCCTGCTGTGCAACATTACGGAGATGTTGGCGGCTTGTTGTTGGGTCGAGTCGGTTATGAAGTCTTTTCTGCGGTGTTCGTGATTCAGCTCATCTTCGTCGTCGGCTCGCACTGCCTCACCGGCACGATTGCTTTTGCTACTATTACCGAGAGCACTATTTGTTCTCTCGTGTTTGGTGTCGTTTCTGCCATCATTCTATTTCTTCTCGCAATTCCTTCCTCCTTTGCCGACATCACAATTCTCGGTTACATTGACTTTGCCTCCATTCTCATCGCTATCGGCATCACGATTATCACGACAGGTATCCAGGGAAGCAACTCACCAGGCGGCCTTGCCGCAGTCGCTTGGTCCGTCTACCCAAAGGAGAATGTGACATTCACTGAAGCATATGTCGCCATCGGAGATATCGTCTTCGCATATTCGTTTGCCACGTGCCAATTCTCTTTCATGGAGGAGATGCACACTCCGACTGATTTTACCAAGTCAATCTGGGTCTTGGGCTTGATTGAAATAATCATTTACACCGTCACTGGTGCTACCATTTATGCATTCGTTGGACCTAATGTGCAGTCTCCAGCTCTTCTTTCGGCCGGTACTACCGTTAGCCGAATTGCTTTCGGTGTGGCTTTGCCGGTCATCTTCATCTCGGGCTCAATCAATGCGATCGTCGTTGGACGATTACTTCACACTCGAGTTTACAAGAATAGTGTTATTCGGTATATCAACACACCCAAGGGTTGGATGACGTGGATTCTCTTCGTGGCCGCTATCACTATCGTCGCCTGGATCATCGCTGAGGCTATCCCGTTCTTCACGGATCTACTCTCTATTATCTCGGCGCTGTTCACTTCCGGGTTCTCCTTCTATCTACCTCCGATCATGTGGTTGATACTCCTCTGCAAGGGTAAGTGGTTTTCGAAGGAAAACCTACCTTTTGCTATTATCAATTTCTTGGTTTTCCTCATGGGGCTGGCGGTGCTGGTCTGTGGGCTGTACTCGAGCATTGACGATATTGTAAGTCATATCTGTGATAACTGTGGCAATGGGGCAATTTGCTAACGATAACTTCAGCGAAACTCGTACCGCACAGGGAGTGTTCAGAGTCCTTTCAGCTGTTCTCAGACGTGATATTCTTTTTATCTGGAGCGGAAGCAGTTCACTTGGGATACTGAAAAGGTCGATACGCCCCACTGCGAAGGGGCATATGGTTTATATTCTTGTAAAATACTTATGTATGAAAAATATCAGAGTTATCCCCACGGATTCTTAGAATCGAGAAACCCATATCCAGTTTAAGCAACGCCAACATAGCTATGGTCGGAAAACGCTCTTCCGAGGGCTTTGCCGGATGGATAAGAGTCTGCTCTTGGTATCAAGGACTAACTAAGTATTCTGTGGCAGTTAGAATGGAATGGAAGGCCGGGCATCCATTTGGCAACACGCCTGTTTGCGGGGTACCCCGGACTCAACAACTCCAGGTTTTTACATAGAGATCCTTCCTTTGATCGTTGCCATATTTCTCCTTGCAAAAGAGGAGAGGAAGCACAGAGAGAACTGGCAAACTGCGGTACACAGGGATCCTTTCCTCACCGTTACGTGGTGGTATTGGAAGCATTGAGACAAGAAGCAAGAAGAATAATAAACCAAACGAGAGCTCGGCAGGATCCATCAACTGGGACCTTGAATGTGCACGAGCAACTGTCCGAATCGAGCTTCACCCCATCGTCGGAGCCATTCAACCAGGTCGGCACGACTTCCACAACCCCTGGCTGAGTGCACGAAACGGTCGAAGATGTGTCTCCCCCCTGACATCTTGCTGAAATGACTCAATGGGGAGACTTCGATTCTCTAGTGTCGACAGGACTGGGAAAGCTAGGTCACCTATTCCCTCATAACCGCCTAGGCTCATATAGGAAGGATCAAGACCTCTTATATGAATAATGTGATGCATGCGCAAATCATTTAGTGTTGCACAAATAAATCCGGTAAGAGTACAATGTGAAGCATCATAAGTCATGCATATGATGAGATACTTCAAGAATAGGGTTAAAGCTCGTCAAATGTAACTACTCAGATAGTTCTCATGTTTTGTATTTTCCGGATGTTGTCAATGCCGGCGTCAGCCATCACTGGAGCTAACTATAATCCAAATATTTATGAATATCAACAAGAACCACGGGACCATTCAGCTACCGTGACTCGGCTTTAAGGGAAACGAAGTATATTCAAATATTCTGGTAGAGCAACCGCGACTGGTAATTGGCCTCATTTTCGAATACTGCCATCAACACTAAAGACCGAGATAAAGTTAAAGTCCGAATGGGTAAGTCTCCTCTTTTCCGAGCGGCGTGACGGGCTGAATGGCTTCGAGGGGTCTAACAGCCGCTGTGTGATCGAACCATATATAGCCGTCAAATTGCCTGTGTAGTTGTGCCTGTGAGTAATGCGACATTCTTTCGGTATCAGGGCGGTATATGACTCCGATAAACCGCTCAAGACGGTTTTCCCTAGCGAGCGCAGCCCGTAGGATTGGGTCAATGCGCTCGAGTCGAAGGTCTAGCAGGAAACGAGGTACGCCGGTGTTATGCGCCACGATTTCCCAACTATCTTTTCTCGAAGGATTGACAGCCATGACTTCCATATCATCATCCCATTCGTGTGCAGCCGCGACAGTGCCGGTGTGGGTTCCACATCCAAGAATTACGACACTCTCATTGCCCATTCGCTCCCGGCATAGCTGGCCAACGTTGACTTCGTTCCGGCGGCTTCCCATGCTAGTGAAACGAGCGTCACCCACGTGGGAGTTGTGTGCCCAAACTACAGCTTTGTGTTCAGGTGGTGGACGGTGCTTTAAGATGCGCTGCAAAGTGTCGACCATGTGGGTATCTCGCAGCGTCCAAGAAGAAGCTGAACTCCAGTACATTGACTTGTAGTACTGCTCGGCATCTTGAACGAGGAATGCATTCTGCGAGGAACTTTGGTACTCCTCGCCATCTCGTGGGTCAGACTCGATGTATTCCAGTCTGTTGGCGAGGATATCTCTGAGCATCCTTATCACTTGAGGCTCGCAATCCTCCATTCCACGTATGGTAGCAAGGCCGTAGGTAGAGGGGTTTTCAACCCAGCGCTCCAAGCAACCGTAGCGTTTCCGCGCGATCTTACCAGCTTGCGGATCAACCCGGTCGAGATACTCTATCACCGCACGGATTGAGGAGCCCATACTATACAAGTCCAGTCCGTAGAAGCCTGCCCGCTTCTCGGGTGGCTGGGTGCTGTTCCACTCACGCATCCACTCGACAAACTCCTGCATCTCGCGGTTGCGCCACATCCAGGCCGGAAATCTTTTGAAGGGTTCGAACCCCTTTGCCTTGCCTCCAATTTGCGCCTTGGGACCAGGTCTTAGGCGAACATATCTATCAATGGCTTCAGCGTCCGGCCAGTCGGCTTCCACGGCAACTATGGTGTAGCCGTGTTCCTTGATCATTCGCTTTGTGATCTCTGCACGCGCATGATAAAACTCGGATGTGCCATGACTCCCATCACCAAGGAGCATCACTTGTTTATCTGCAAACGAGTCGAAATAAGAGGCGAAGGATTCGTCCTCAATCTTTGGGAGAGGCTTTACGGCCTGGTTGAATAACTCTTGTAGCTGTGCCATGGGTGTCGACAGACGTCGCAGAGATATGCAGGGCATGAAACGAAACCGTTGGGGTGCGATGTATACTGGAACATTGTGCAATCTTTCATTTTGCAATAAATTGCCGTCTGGACAAAGCATAGATTGGGAATTTCCGAATTGGTGAGATCACATCGGAGTAAATGCGGAGTCATGATGACTTCACGTCGCGGCAGCCGCCGCAAATCCAAACCACAACTCTCATCCAACGAAGCGACAGCTTTCCATCACTCGAAGAGGTTACAGAATGAAGATTCTGGCGAATGATTTCAGATGCCTTATGGCCAAAGCTTAACTCTTCACAGTCTCCGAAGAACTTTTGTTCCTAACCCGCCACTAATAAAACGGTTGCAACGCCGCACGAGAAGCGTCACCACTATGGCCCTCCCGATTAGCAGTCCATCTCCAAAAGTGGACCGATTCCAACAAGCAATGGAATCAGTCTATGGTAGCTTTAGCAACATATCAGAGCCCGAGAATTGGACTCCGCCTCCAGAATCGGGCGGTCATCGTGGACGATATTTATGGACGGATGCCTTTGGGGTGATCAACCTCCTAACCATGCATGTAGAATACTGTCGAGCAGGCGACAAGCCGTCTCGGGATGATCGCTATCTTATTCTCGCGCGACGACTGGTCCAAACGGTGCACGATATCCTGGGTCGCACTCGAGATGGGCGGTCACGATTACCAGGAGCCACAGACCAGAACCCTCTTGGAGGTGGATTGCGCATTGGAAAGACTGACGAATATGGGTCCGACTGCGATGGGCAGTACCACCATTATCTCACTGTGTGGATGTTTGCGCTCAACCGGATGGCAATGGCATCGGGCGACATGAACTATAACCGACAGGCCGTGCAACTAGCTCGCGCTATTCATCCAAAGTTCTTCGTCGATCGCAAGGCTGTACGTCCGCGCATGATCTGGAAGATGTCGATGGATTTATCAAAGCCGCTTGTCAACTCAGAAGGCAACCTCGATCCCATCGATGGATTCGTCACGTTCCGTCTGCTTCAAGCGACCGCTGCTGCAGCGGGTGACGGGGATGACGTTCTGGAAGAGGAGATCTCTGACTACAGACGAGTCATGGACCGCAAGGGACAACATTTCGTGTCCAAAGATCCACTTGATTTGGGCATGACACTGTGGACGGCGCACTGGTTCTCTGAGACGGAAGGTTGGGCATCAACTCTTGTCAATCGGTGCTTCGAACAGCTATGTGAGTTAAATGCCGGACATCGCTAACAATACTCAGCATCAGTCCCCTAGAGTACAAGAAGTGCTGACGACATTCTACCCCAAGATGATATGTTCGAGATAAACAGGTATCTTGAACGTAGCATCAAATTTCGCTTAGCTTTCCGGGAGTTTGGAACTTGTTTGGGGCTGCAATGTGAATCAGAGCAGACTGGAGAAAAGGAACGAGCAGTTGATTTCAAGAGTTGGGCAGATGCTATCATCGTCGCATGGGATCCGTATATGGAACTCTCCACCTCGACAGGTCTGACTCCTGCGGACCTGCGGCCCATTACTCGAGTGATGTTTGCTTCGGCTTTGATTCCCGGTGGTTAGTGGCCTCGAACAGCGTAGTTCATGACTGGCTCTATAACCGTTATCTATACTAACAGATTCTCTCGTCTAGCCTTTTGTTCAGGGTACCTCGGCTCCGAGCCGAAGATGTCTAACTAACGGCGATCGAGTTTGTAGTGAATATGTAAATGACGTCTGCATGCTGAGAAATAAGAATGAAAGGATCAATTTCTTTTGAAATTCTCCTGCAAGCAAGCATGTGTATGAATACATATCCACCGTAAATGCATGATCGTGTATAGGAACGATGTCGTCTATCGCCAAATGAAATATGTACAAGCGCCACAAGAGGAATTATGATGCCTTTCTATAGCCCCGGAATGCCCACAATATCCCTCCACGGCGTGAGGCTCCTCGGAAGTATGTAGATGACATATACAGAGCTCAGGGCAATGGTCAATCCAGACCACTGTGAACCAAAAGTCGTCAGCAAGATGTTTCCAATGGTGGGAAAACGGCACATGAGCTATAACTACAAACGCTTTGCTCGAAAAAAAACTTACCTTTTCTAGCCAGGTGTGGAACCAAATGGCAGTCATGAAAAGCATCCACCATCCTAGCCCAACAACACCCCACACTAAGCGTAGAGACCATTTCCTTGCATACTCAGAGTCACCATCTTGATCGCCACTCCCAGAGACGACTGGGTCACTCGCTTTGCGGTCACGTGCACCTTCCCTATCGGCCCGAGTCGATGTTGAGAATGCAGAGAATGCCCCGGCACCGACCGCCTCGTGAGCCAGAAGTGCCGTTGCCAGTACCAGCATGAAAACATGACCACTGATATCATGGCCACCTCTCCAGGCTCCACCGGCGGCTTTGCAGGCTGCAGCAGAGAAAAGAGTCTGTGCCTGGGCCGAGGGGCTTTCCCCCAAGTCCAACTCTTGTGCTCGGCCGATCACCTCTTCACACTTTCCGCCCGTAACGACAAAGCTGCGATCGATTATCGCAGGACCAAAAAACCATTGCGTCATCAAGTACCATACTGTCGTAGCGATCGCAAAGCGGAGGAGGGCTTGAAGAGTACGCCGGACACGAGTCTGTTGTTGGGCCTGGGAGAGCGAAGATGAGGCACGGTACGCAGGCTGGAAGAGAAGTAGTGAGACAAAGGCAACCGTGGTCCACAGCCATCCAATCTTCACAAAGTAGAGATTGAAGATATTATTCTTTCGGGCAAAGTAATTGACCGGATTATTGGAGAGGTGAAGGTCGGCGGCGAGTGAAGGTGCGAGGGGGGGAGATGACTGCGGCAGGCGTGAGGACAAGTCTCTGGTAGCACGAGCTACTGGCGAGATCACGGAGAATAAGGACCCTAATAGCAAAGTCGCTGGGTATATGAGGAGAGCGGCCGGGGAGGGAGCAGGACGAGGGGATGCGGCCATGGTTGTCAGTGTAGAGACCCCAGATTGCGGGAGTCTCTCGCGTCTAGTTTGTGGATGCAATTTATGTTGAGGTGTAAGAGTTGTCAGGAATGAGACTGGACAATAGAAATGACAACTGGGAGGAGCGAAAGCAGGATGCACGGGAAAGCGAGCGCCTTGACAGTTAGACGCATGGATGACATCAACTTCGTCTGCCGAGGCACTAAAATTTCAGTGCCTCTGAAATCAGGCATCAAAGAACAACTAGGTTTGTCTAAGGTTGAAGAAGTTCACAAAGCAGCAAGCACTATATTTAGGTAGATACATGCTAGAAGTGGCAAAACAAATTCTTCTACTCCAATATTTTAGACATTCTCCTAAGCCTTCTTCAGCAGCTCTGTGCCACCCGCAATGAGTTGAGCTCATAGAGCTAGAACAGCTCTTTCTTGGAAGCAAGAAGATGGCAATTGGTATTTTATAGTACGCAAGATAGCAGCCAGATTTTGTTCACTAAACCTGTTTCATGTGCTATGTGAGATCTATGTTTCGCCAGAACAGCAGCGACGAGCGAGGGGATATCATCCGGGTCCGGAGCTTGGCATCCTAGCGCAAGCTAGTTACGTGCGGAGTCTCCGTTACCTACAGTAGCGTACCGCCATTTATGTGCTGGTGTGGCTTTTTAAAGGCTAAAAGGCGTCGATGTGTCGATTTCTAGAACATTTATCTCCAGTCCTACGATCAACAGTAGATTTTTTTTACAAATACCCCGCTCACGATGAGCCGGTAAATCTATTGCCGGGATCTTTAGTCTTCACTATTGAATGAACTTAATTAAAAGTCTGTGTTATAGAATATGCTTTTGAAAAGATAACGCCCAAGGCATGGAATTCAACTTGACTCTCCACGACGCGTCTCGCTGCATGTATCCCATACTGTGTGTGAATATTTTACCTACAACGCGTCTATTGTCAATTTGACCGCGAGGCTCAGCCATCACACTTGCGTCTATTCTCCGGCGATCTGAGATGGGTTCTTTCCAACCTCGCTCAACATAAATGGCGGACCTATAATCTCTTACGGCGATTGGAACCTAGGCAACTCATCTCCGCTTTGAGTGGCAACCACCCAAACTGCTGGGTTCGCCTCTGGACGCTGACTCCGCGGTCAACACCACGCCGTATTATAATTCAGGCCCAGTCGAAGGTGCCCATGTTGGGCACGACCAGCCTGCTCGACCTGGCATTTACTGCTCAAGATAGCCGCTGAAAAGCCTTTTGCTAGCATTGATAAGAAAAAGCTCAACGTGCTGGATGGCCCTGGGGTAATCATTACAAAGCTCGAAGGTCCAGCCGATCCTCAGTACAGAATGACATTCGGTTCCACGGCTTAGGGTACGAGAAAGAAAGAATAATTTAAGAGTGTCACATTCGCAGGAATAGTATTATTTGCCAGTGAACCTGTTGTATGGCAGGCTTCTCAACCTGTTGGAACTTTGCAAAACGCGCCCCACCACGGGCGGCGATTGGACAAAAGAATGGGTCCTTCTCTGGCCCTGCCGATCGGCACACACGGCTAGACTAATCACTGCGGCGCATTTCAATGCCCCAGCGGTTGACTCCTTCCTTGATTGCTCACTAATGCCCGCGAGAGCCTTTCGCAAGCGTGAACCAGACTGTCGGGACGGCACTCCCTTGTCGCAAAAGGGATCTCGGAGCACTAACCAGTGCCGGTGGAACACTGCAATAAAAGCTGAATAGCGCTGGACCCGACACTCTGGAACACTAACTACCGTCGTCAAGCTGGAGGGGTCATAAGACTTCAGTCGGTGTGGCTGTCGACCACTACAATCCTCCAATTTCTTTACCCCCTTCGATCCCTCTTCTATCGCGTATCCTTGATAGCTATCTTCCAGAAAAGTCTCGCGCTCATCGACCTGCGTGTGATGCACCGCACCATGCAACATGGCTCGGACGTCATCGAGCCCGATGTTAGTGCTGCTCGGAGATATCGCTTTGAGGTACGAGTGGTATTGAATGAGATACTGACTTATTCCGCGCATAGTTCTCGGATGTTGATTCAACCTACCCGGAGTCGTAAGTGGTAGGCAAGACCATGCATGTATATCTGCGCTAACTCTCCGAAAAGGTTAGGTGACGCCAGTTATACCACCAGTCTCACATCAACTGCACTAAACTATCAGTATGTCTTCCATCACAAAAGAAACCTAGAAAAAAAAGAATAAAAACATTTTTTTTTATCTTTTCTGCAAGCTGTCGCTGACAACGCAGATATGAGGTAATTTCCAAACGGCTGATACCACAATCAGAACCTCCTACTTAGGAATGTCTAGAACGGTCGCAGATACCACTCCTACCACGAAGGCGAATATATCCTGGTACGTTAACCCTTGACCGATCTTCGGCTGATACATCTGATCTAATTTCTCATCCCAGCCTAACGATGAGCGAGAACAAGATCGTCTTGATTTGGTTAGTGCTTACCAGCCTCGCCGATCCAACCTTACCTTATCTTGATTGACTAACTATCGATGACAGAGTCACCACATCTATTTAATGCTTCTTAAAGGCGAGCTTCATGCCGCTCCGATTAAAAATCCAAGGAGGGTATTAGATATTGGTACCGGTACGGGGATATGGGCTATGGATTTTGCAGAGTAAGCTCTATTTTACATAAGTCATCCATTGACCATCCACTAACCCACTCTAGCGAACATCCAGAAACAGAAGTCATCGGTATGAGACATCAGCCTCTCTTACTTTGGAAGCCGGTTCGCTGAGATGGGGGTCGCTTGACTAATACCATGCAGGAATCGATTTAAGTCCCATCCAACCGTCCTGGTAATATCAATAGCCCTTGCTCTCATATATCAAAATGATTCTAATGGATGCATTCAGGGTGCCACCAAACTGCCGCTTTGAAATTGACGATTTTGAACAACCGTGGTCATACAGCCAGCCATTCGACTTTATCCATGGACGAGAGCTAGAAGGGGCCATCCGTGATCATGACACGTTATTCCAACAAGCATACCAATATTTGAATCCAAATGGATGGCTAGAGATCTCCACGATCGAAGTCAATACGTACTCCGACGACGACACTCATCTCAAAGCAACGAATATGCTCGAGAGTGTGGTGCAATTACACGCAGGGTCAAGGTTGTTCGGAAAGGACATGTCATCCGTGGTCACGTGGAAAGAGAAGATGGAGAAAGCCGGATTCATCAATGTAGAGGAACGAGTCTTCAAGGTATTGCCGCCAACCCTTCTCGCGGAAGATGATACTGATCATTCACGTAGCTTCCCCAAAGTCCTTGGCCTAAAGATCCTAAGCTGAAAGAGCTGGGGCGATATCACCAACTTAATATGTTGGAGGCCATGCCCACTTACAGTTATGCACTATTCACACGCATGCTCGGATGGGATCGAAATCGGATTGAAGCTCTTTTGGCTGGTGTCCGTCACGAATTGAAAGATTTGTCGAACCATTTGTATTCAAAAGTACATATGGTATACGGACAAAGGCCGGAGTGACCATTATTGAGATACCGAAATGTACATAGAATTAATTCATAGGATCGAAAATATACCCATTGTGTTGATTGAATGCTGATTCATCATATGGGAAAGTCGAGTAAAGCTTTTCAGAGAATGGTAGCCACTATCCAATAGGGTAATTCGAACAGGGGTCCAGTGCCAATGGCCCAGACACGACGGAGTATGATATCTCTTATTCCGAGCCAGAACTCCACGCTAACATGAACGCTCGCTAACGTATCATTAGACATTGAACAAATTTCGCCAGTTGAGTTCACTTTGACCTCGTGCTCTCCATTCGGGAGACGATCTTCGAGAGCGACTCAGATTGCTGCAAGCGAATGCTGTTCCGTGTCTCCTTCCAGGACAAAAGCTCATTCAACTCTCTACTCTCATAAGTGGCGTTAGGTGTATCCGGACTATCAACCAGAGTAAATGATGAATCATCCGGGGTACTCGTGACAATAATTTTGGGTATATTCCTTGCGATTGGTGCGGGTTGTATACAGATGATGGCCGAGTCACCGGGGAGCTCTGCAAGGACCGGCACGGGCTTTCGTATGATCGTACCAGATGATGAAGGAAGCTCAGCTACTGGAACTTTGGACTCCTGCAACACATCACTCGGCAGCTCTGCCACGGGATCGGGCGACACATCGCTTGAAAGCTCTGCGACAGACTTGGCTCCCGGCTCCCTAGTCGAGAGTTCAGCTGCAGCCTCCGCTGCGGTGTCATGAGCTAGAGTCTCGAGAGGCAATTTAAGGTTCTCAAGGTGAGCCAGTACTCGGTCAAGTCGGCACTGATATCGAACCAAGCGGTATTGCTTTTCTTCGGCGCGCCCACGTCCTTGAAGCTTCCACTGCTTCCGGTTTGTCGAACTGATCTTGCCTTTTCCCTTGCGCTTCGCCATATCGAACCGACATAGCTCCAGAAGATCAGCCAGTTCTCGTGCCGAGTCATCGGCGTCGACGATGGTCGAATTGATCCAGTTATGTTCAATTTCCCCGAGTTGGGTTGATTTGGCATCCCTGAGCCGCTTTGCCTCCATAACCCGGGAGGAAACGTGATCCGCAAATTTCAACAACCCCCGGATCTGCTCGTCGGGTCGTCGCTTTTTTATGGACAGATCGACTGATAGAGAAGAAGATGCTGTTGAATCGGTAGCGGTCTCGGATGGCGATTTTGGAGATGAGGTAGAGGGAGAAGATATAGAGGACACGGGAGAGGTTTGCGATAATGGTGAAGTTGTTGATATTTTGGGTTGCGGTGATTTGGGTGTGTCGGTTAACGATCTTGATTCTGCTGGTTGCACAGCCTGCGGTGCTTCTGGGATATGAGTGATGTTTCCTGATGGTGGGCTACCTGGCTCCGAACTCTGCTCGGTCGGGGGCTTTTTATGCTCGGCCTGGTGCTCAAGAAGACCCTTGTGTTGTAGTCGGTCTGTCGTCTGGTATATTCTGTTCGCCGACCGTGCCAATACGCCTGCAGTCGACCTCCGACAGACAATCTTGGAGTAATTCCACGAGTCCGCCGATTTGTGGCAGGCCTCCATGGTAGTCCGATGGCATCGATCCTTCGAGTCGTGCCATGCGGTGGCAGACCGACGCCATGCTTCCGTTGTCGAGTGCTGCCATTTATCGGTAGACTGTTGCCATTTGGCCGCTGACTGTTGCCAGTGCTCCCCCGGTCGGCTTAGTACGCCTGTCGAACCCATTTTTCAGGCGCGATATTTGAGGACTGTAATGTTTTAGGCAAAAATGGAGTGTCAAGGTACAAGGCCCCGGGTCCGGGTACTCGGTATTTTGCTTCAAAGTCAGGATCCGTGCATGAGGTGAGACGGACCTTATATCTTCTGATCATCAGCTATAATAAACGCATAAAAACGCCTTGGATAACATCCCAATCTGCATACAATCTGTTTGCCACTTCGTTGGCCCCCTGAGTGGGGCGGTTAGCATTGCTTACTGGAAGAGGCACTTGTCGGGGCGGCGGTGCATCATGCTTCAGGTTAACTGTGCGAGCGCCAAGCAGTGAGGTATCTGCCCTGGTTGGAGGGTCTGTGCCGTAACAAATTATGATTACTTGGACCGAGGATTGGTTGGTTCGTCTACTGATGCAGGCATCCACTATCATCGTGCTCCTGATCTTGACAGGGCTTGGGGCCAAAACTACCATAAAAATCCACACGAAGTGCCGTAATTGGCCCCTTCGTATAAATCCCGGGCGAAGCAATCATCTTTCGCTGACTGTCAATCTCCTCGACGTCGCTATTTTTATCAAGGAAGGCGGGGTTGCTGCAAGACTCCGGGATGCCTCAGGATGATCGCACCATAGGCCGGATTTGTTGTTCATTCACATTCTAGCTATTCACCAGATCGATCTCATGTAGGCCTGGAAACACAGCGTTACTGCTGCTGTTGCGTCCGAACACTCCATTCATTGGCACTATACTCCGTACGAACAAAGTGACTTCAGTTCCAATTTTGCAGGAGTGACTAATTTGAGTAAAGATGCAGAGATTCGGGGGCTAGAAGCGAAAGCGAAATTGGCCATTATGCATCTTTTGTAGATAGCTATGTCAGCAGGTTTTTCTGGCCCCCAAGTCCACCGCAATTACAACAACACAAATCAACAAATCACAAGACGATGACGTACTCTGTGCTGATTTGCTATAACCATATCACCTAATCTGAGAATTGCAGAAAGACATATAGAATGCTCCAAATCACTAGTTGAGCACTGTCGACGGATGGATTGAAAGGAAGAGTACAGGATCCAAGAGATTGACTTCAAACGTTTGATTTGTTGTAAGGAACGAAAACATATCTAGTAAAATCTAAAGGTAATGATAAAAGGTTGTTCCGTGTAACTCCTTGTATCATGAATTAAACATGTGGCCCCAAATTCACCGAATGCTAGGTAGTAGCAGACCATTTTCCAGCACAGGTTGATTCAACTCCTTGACACATCATACCACCTTATCAGAATAGTTGACACCGCGCTGTCTCTCAATGGTGTTGCCCTGATAATATGGAGGTGACTGGTTCAGTCCTGAATTGTCTCCAATAGTGCCATGGTGTACCTCTCGGGAAAGATTGTTGCTGATATCGTTCCCATGGTGGTATTGAGGCTCGTTGGAAGAGTACCACTGTGGTTGGGAAGTATCGTGGTGCTATAGCTCTGGTTCCCTTGCATAACGTATTTCATAAGCGAGCGGGCCACCTACCTAGCCGACCGGCTCAACCCTCGACACCACACTGAATGTAATATATTAGGGTACAACCTAATGATGGCTCGATCATTAACGCATCGATAGCAAGGCTTAAACACTCAAATGCCCCACTTGCTAAGCATAAATGCGCGCCACGTTAGGGGCTTGTTCTTTCTCATGGCCAAGCCAATAATCAGGCAGTTTCACGCTTTGCCCAAAACCATGCAACAACTCGAATCCGAGGGCACAGCCTTGCGCACACCCTCATACGAACATGGTACTGCTCCGCTGATGCCTGAAATCTCGTGCCTGTTCGGCCTTAGCCATCCTTCTGTCCGCATCCATCCCAATACCGAGAACTGCTGCATTGAGGATTCTTTTCTAACCGGCACCGAGCTGCAACTTGCAATCTGAGCAGAATAACTAACTTAGTTAGTTATGTCACCACGTCTGAGTCATCGGAAGTCCACAAGTGGCTGCCTTCGATGCAAAGCACGTAAGGTCAAGGTGAGAGAGAACAAACTGATCTTTGCTGTATGAGAGCGGGCTTATTCTGGTCCTTGTTTCTGTTATTGCCTTTTGTCCTTGTATTCATTCGAGTCTCGGCGATTTTCAATTAGCGTGATCGTGTGATTTGTTTCTCTCAAACCACCTCGATCGATGTACATACGCTCAAAACAGACTGTTGACTCATTAATGATAGTAGTTAGATATTGAGTTGACCCTTAGGGAGCTATATCTTCAGGGATCCTCGCAAGTCTTACTTTCTTGGCTACACTCTCCAAATATGCAGTCATCATAAAATGTGTTGTCTTTTGAGTCATGATTGCTCACGCTTGTACAATAGTGGGTGGCCTGAAGGCCTGAACCATGTAGAGCTCACCCTTTCCGGAAGTTTGATGAGAAAGATCGAATGAGTCAGTGACAAGCACTCTTCTTCCTTGGAAAGTTCCAGAGAGAATATTGCAATTACTCTCGTAATTTTGGGAGGGGCTCTGCGAGAAAGCACCCCCTCTCCACTTTGAGTAAAAGACCCTGCGGTCGGGTCGGGCTCCAAGGCTGGACTGATCGCCCGGGAGACCCACTTCCCCCCAAGGCATCAGCGATCACCATTAAACTCCTGTTCGTAAGTGGACTCTGGATCATTGATACTTATACATCACCCCGTCCCAGAAGACCCTGGTGATGCCAGAGACTAAGATTGCTCACTGCTGTCATGCCTGATCCCCCTCTACCATGCTCTGTGGCCGATGAGGACGTGTTCGGTCCATTCATCAACGCGTCGTGCCACCATGGCTTTGACTTTACCTTGCTGTTTGAAGAGACGATTTTGACTCTCCTGCCGCTATCGCTGCTCCTTATCTCGGGAGCGTTGCGTGTCTGGAGTCTTTCTCATGCATCAGAGAAAGTCAATCGATCATGGCTGTACGCGGCAAAGGAGGTTCGCCATTGATTGAATGAATCATAACGTTGAACACAACACTCACTGACTAGCGATCTAGGTCGCCTTGGCTATACAAATAGCACTCCAATTAGTGCTCGTGGCTATTTGGAGCATACCTTCGATTCCCAGTACGAGAGTGACAGTTCCAACCGCCGTTGCAAGCTTGGCAGCTTCCGCATTCCTGCTTTACCTGTCCCACCTAGAGCATCTTCGGTCCTTGCGCCCATCAACAATCATTTGTCTCTTTGTAGGGACGACTCTACTCTTCGATTTGGCTCGTCTTCGAACGCTCTCCTTTATGCCTGATAATAGGCTAGTAACAGCTTTATTTGCCGTAAGCTGCGTTGGCAAGACGGTCATTCTTGTGCTCGAGTCTATAGAGAAGCGATCATTGCTACAAAGACAATTCGAGTGCAGCTCACTGGAGTCAACTGCTAGCACTTTCAACCGTGGTCTCTTCTGGTGGCTGAATGGGCTGCTCTGGAAGGGGTCGAAAACCACTCTTACGGTGGACAGCCTTCCGGAACTCGACGAAGCCATCAAGACAGCTTCAAACCCGGAGGCGCTGGTCGAGAGCTGGAATAAAGGTACTATCTTTTCAATCACCAAACCCCTCCCATTCGCTCCTGTATTGACATCAACTTCTAGCCGACAAGTATCGACCCAACGCATTGCTTTGGACCTTGACGTGGCATTACAGATGGGAGGTCATGGAGGGTGTTTTACCCCGGTTGGCATTCACCGGCTTCAACTTTGCTCAGCCGTTCTTGGTGGAGCGAGTGCTAAATTTCATGACGGAGCCTGAGCATGTGAACTCGGATAACTACGCCCGTGGCCTCGTCGCAGCATACGCGATAGTCTATATCGGTCTTGCAGTACGCAGTCCTCGGACCCGCCTCTTCTGTTTTGGCTCTCAAATCACTCACTTTGGCCATCATAGATATCTTATACCGTGTATCAACACAAAAACTGCCGTCTTATTACCATGATCAGGGGAAGCTTGGTTACGCTCATTTTCAACAAGACACTGCGAATGAGCGCCTCCGCCGTGACCGATGGGAGTGCAGTCACTTTGATGAGTACAGATATTGAGCGCATTGGTGGCGGCATCAGGGAAATTCACGAGACTTACTCCAATTTCGTGGAAGTTGCTCTCTCCCTGTGGCTGCTAGCCAGGCTACTGAAGCTTGCAACTATCGCCTCGACATTGGTGATCGTCAGTACGTATTGACTAGCATAAACCCAATCATGACGATCTGTACTGATTCCTGAAACTAGTATGTCTTATTATCGGAATCCCACTAGCTATCGCATCTGGTAAAGCTCAAGGCGTATGGCTTGAAGCTGTGGAGGAGCGAGTTGCAGTCACCTCCAAAGTTCTTGGGGTCATGAAAAGTATCAAGATGACGGGTCTGACGCAGGTCATTTCAAACAACATCCGGCAACTACGTTCGCAAGAAATCAAAGCATCGTTTACTTTCCGCCTATACACCATTCTCATCATCACTTTTTGTAAGCGTACCTTCAGCTTCAGTAATTTCACCTGATACCTCCTAATCCAAGTCACGCAGCATTTGCATCTTCCGCACTTGCTCCTGTTTGTGGCTTTGGTGTTTATATCATCATAGCTCAAGCACAAGATTCGGGCACTTTGACAAATAGCATGGCCTTTTCGGCATTGACACTCTTCCTGCTCCTCGACGAACCAATGATGAGCTTGGCCAATGGAGCAGAAGATGTCATGACAGTCGCCAATTGCTTCCAAAGAATCCAGAAGCACTTACTCAATATTGAACGTACAGACTTTCGCTTGAGTCACGGCACTGAGAATACTAGGTTGATTGATATTGAACCCATTGAATGGCAAGATGATCATGGATTATCTTGTGTCGTTGCGCGGGATCTGTCTGCGTCATGGTCGGTTGATGATGAGCCAGTCCTCAAGAAGCTGAACTTTGAGGTCACAACTGGACTCATCACTATGATCGTGGGCCCGGTCGGCTGTGGGAAATCAACATTGCTGAGGGTTTTGCTTGGAGAAGTCCCAGAAGTCTCGGGGACGGTTTCCACCGCATTCGAGAATGCTGCCTATTGTAGCCAGTCGCCGTGGATTATATTTGGGACAATTCGACAGAATATTGTGGGTGCATCGCAATGGGATCAGAATTGGTATGATACCATAATTCGGGCATGCTCCCTTCAGACGGACATTCAGCAACTTCCAGCTGGGGATCAGACCAAGGTCGGTGTTCGTGGGTCTCGGTTGAGTGGTGGTCAGCAAATGCGAATTGTAAGCTCTACACTCTTGAGAGAGAAAAGGAACATGAGCTTAATACAAAAATAGGCATTAGCGCGAGCTCTCTACTCCAGAGAGCCGGTCCTTGTACTTGATGATGTACTGACGGGTCTTGATCGAGAAACGGAGAGGGCAATATTAGAGGTGGTTTTCTCATCAGAAGGCCTTATCAAAAAGTCTGGACAGACAGTCATTCTGGCGACAAACTCAGGTTCGAATCTTGGATCCTGATGTCATGACCTTTTTCTAATCTATTTCTAGCACACCACCTTTCCTATGCCGACTTTGTCATCTCTTTGAACGAGGAGGGAAATCTTATCGAGCAAGGCTCGTACGACGCTCTTCTAGCTGGACAAGGTTACGTCAGTGTACTTGTTAGCAAAACCAGCACTGTTGCGACTACCAGAGCGCCGGACGTCGTCCTCGATGATGTGGACTTACAGGGCCTCAATCTCGACAAGGAAGACGACATTGACAACACCAGCCGTAGAACGAGCGACTTGGCGGTGTATCTGTATTACTTCCGAACCATTGGATGGCCCCTTCTGATGTTGTTCTTTGCCTGTGTCTGTCTGTTCGTTTTTGGACTAACATTTCCACGTAAGTGACCTTTCGGGCTTTAAAAGGTTTCCAATAACTGACTAGGATTTTCCAGAAATATGGCTGCAATGGTGGACTGTTGCCAACGAGAAAAGGCCGAACGAGAACATCGCATACTGGCTGGGCATATATGGTGCTCTGAGCTTCTTGACACTCTTTTCTGCGTTCATTGCAAATTGGTACGTTGGGTTTGATGTCTACCAAGATTCAAACTAATCTTTTTTGCAGGGTCTTCGGTATAATCGTTGTACCTAAAACCGCCCGTCGATTTCATGAGACCCTTCTTAGAACAACCATGAGGTAAAATCCACCTTCAAATGCTGTTCATTTAACCATGACTGATTTATTTAACCTAGTGCAACCACTTCATTCGTCACATCAACTGATATCGGAACCACCACGAACAGGTACTTCTGCAGTGCTTGTTCACTCCTTGAACTAACAATACTGACATGCTTCACTACCCAGATTTAGCCAAGACTTGGAGCTGATTGACGAGGAACTTCCCGAGGCATTCGAGCTGACGATATATGCATTTCTCTTTTTCCTCGTAGAAGGCTTCTTGGTTTTCGTCGGCTCGTCATACGTTGCGTCGGCCGTAATTCCATTCGTTATCCTTGTGGTTTACTACGTTGGGAAATACTATGTCCGCACATCTCGCCAGATCCGTCTGCTCGAAATCGAAGCCAAAGCACCTCTTTTCTCCCAATTTTTGGAGGCGATGAGCGGCCTGCCCAGTATTCGGGCATACGGATGGTCCGAGCACTATCAACAGCAAGAGTTGATTGCTTTGGAGGCTTCTCAGAAACCCTTTTACATGCTGTACTGCATTCAGCGCTGGTTGAGCGTTGTACTGGATCTGGTGATTGCCGGTATCGCCGTTGTTGTGGTTGCAATTGCACTTTCCATGAGAGGGAGCTCCTCGTTGAATCTGCTCGGCATTGCCCTTTTCAATATCGTCAGTTTCGGCAGCACTCTGCAACGCTTGGTTACCCAGTGGATCAAACTTGAGACTTCTATTGGGGCCGTTTCTCGAATCCGGTCATATGTTCAACAAACTAAGACCGAGGATCTTGATACTGAGATTGAGGTTGTGCCAACCTTTTGGCCAGAGAAGGGCAATGTTCAGATTTCTGGCGTATCCGCTTCATATGAGTACGTATGGAATCATAGAGTTCGAGGTATAATTTTTCTAACCATTGTCCAGCTCATCTTCTGACCCGGTTCTGCGAGACGTGGGTCTGACCATCCTCGCCGGTGAAAAGGTTGCGCTTTGTGGCCGAACCGGCAGGTACGTTGTCCCATTCATCACCCCTAGAATCTGTCTAATTTTATTTCAGTGGTAAATCGTCGCTCATTTCAACAATACTGCGACTTCTTGACTTGAATCAAGGTTCCATACACATCGACGGAGTAGACATCTCTCGAGTGTCTCGCTCACATGTCCGCTCCCGCCTCAACACGATCCCGCAGCAGGCCTTCTTCCTCCACGGCACCGTCCGACAGAATGTCAACCCGGAAGGAACTGTTTCGGACGAGGTCATCATTGAAGCGCTCCAAGCTGTAAACTTGTGGTCCTATCTCCAATCAAAAGGAGGCTTGGATGAGGATATGTCCCAGGATATTCTTTCTCATGGCCAGCAACAACTTTTCTGTCTGGCGAGGGCACTGTGTAAGCCCAGTAGTATCCTCATCATGGATGAAGCTACGAGCAGGTAAGACAACTTTGGATTCTGCTCGTCAATAGACCATATTCGCTAATCTGACAATGTACAGTGTTGACTCGGAGACCGACGCCCTTATGCAAAACGTGATTCGCACGCATTTTCAACACCAAACCATCATTGCCATCGCTCACAAACTAGATACCATTCTAGATTATGATAAGATTGCATTCATGGATTATGGCCGGATAGTGGAGTTTGATACACCAAAGGCGCTTTTGTCACGGGAGGGATCTGCGTTCAAGGCCATGTTCGATACATTTCGGCATCTACCAGAGTGACGGTGTGGCTGTGGCGTGTGAAAAGCGATAGACTTGGTGATTCTGGATTGCATTTGGAAGATTCTTATTTCGGTTTTTGTTTTCTTGTTTATTACAGCGTGTCCCATTTCAGCAGCGTTCCTCTACTTTCATATTTGGTCTGGTTCTTTATTTTGGGATCCATTTACCAATCCCCTCCATCTAAGTTTATGAGCATCACAAAGTCAGTACAACCTTTCCCCTGCCCGTATACCGGCCATTCGCAAAGTCATAAGCCTCCCTTGCTCGTTCAATGGGATAACTCCCCGCCACAAAGGCCTTCAACAATCCCTGGTCCACCAACTCCCCTAATACCCTCAACGCCCGACTGCTCCCCTTCACAATAAAGAACAAAGCCTTCACCCCATCCCTCCTAATCCCACGGGCTGTATGCTCCTCCACAAAATCGAAGCTTGCCGAATCCACCGAAATCAGGGACCCGCCCTCTCGAACAAGCTCCCAACATCTCGCCAACGTCTCCCCACCAACCGTATCGACAATAACATCAAATCGGTCCCTCTGACCGTCAAACGCCGAATACTCAATCACCTCATGAGCACCTAACTCTCGCAGGAACTCTGCATTCCGGGCATTCGAGCTACTCGCAGCAGTAACCCGCACCCCCGCAGCAGCAGCGGCTAACTGCACCAGATAAATGCCCACGCCCCCGGCTGCACCGGTAATCAACACCTCCTTTTCTCTCTCTGGTTTTTTCATTTCCCTCTCCACACTTGAAGATTTCTCCCAATCAGGTAGATCTAGCCCGCCATGCTCGAAAAGTGCCTCGAATCCCGTCATCCCACTCAGCGGCAATGCCGCCGCTTCCTCCCACCCCACAGCCCCGGGCTTCCTCGCCACCTCGCTCTCCAAGACGACTGCGTACTCCGCCCAAGTTGACGGCCGATCTGCATGGACCATGCCAAAGACTTCGTCGCCAACTTGAAACGCAGACTCCCCGCCGGGACCCGGAACTACCTCGACGACCGTCCCGGCAAAGTCGTTGCCCGGGATGATGTAGGGGTGGGCGTAGGTCTCGGGCCATGTGAGCATATCGCGGATGATGGTTGAGGCTTTAATGCGGATGAGGAGGGAGCCTGGGATTGTTGGTTTGGGGATGGGGATCCTGTCGAGGTGGAGGGATGTTGAGGGGGCAGGGTTGGAGGGGGTGTAAGGTGGTGATGGGGGTTGGGAGGGGTGGACGCGGATTGCTTGCATGGTGATCCAAGAAGAATTGATTTTTTTGGAGACGAAAGATGGAGGATTGATATTGGGCGATTGATGAGGTTTTGATGTTGTTCAAGTATGGAGGGGAGTGTGGGGAAGTCGATCGGATCACCCCACGGCGGCTCGATCCGCCCCGGCCATGGACCCGTGGGAGATTCTGCTTACGCTACTCTTGGTCAACACTTCGGCTCCATCTGCTTACAGAATAATAATAATTTCTGATTCGGATTCTCTTCATGAGGCAAGCAAGTGCCAAATATATACTATGTGCAGAATGTAATATTAGTGGTCATGCAAAGACCACAAGAAAGCCGGAAGAGAAGAGAAAGTCTCCGCCGTTGCCAAATGTGGGTATAACAAAGCGACGTTGCAACGGTGCAATCCAATTACTGCACGGTAGGCAAGTCGGCCGACAGAGGCAGCTTGCGTGACGAGTTACCAACATACACCTTCTTCTGGGCGCTGCTGATGACCCAGTTCTGTGAGGCCACATCCCAGTTGGACAGATCGCGGCGCGTCAGGGTGGTAGTCCACTGAATCTGCTGACCAGGGGCGATGGTGACACGGTCAAAGGCACGGAGGACTCGGACGGGATCATCATCACCACCAAGGGAGACGTACTAGAGAAGATGGGTTAGGATAAATACTTCGTTTGGTTGTGAATCGAATCGTGGAAAATACTCACAAGCTGAGGAACCTCGTCACCAACGACCGAGCCGCTGTTGGTGATCGTGGCAGTAACCTGGATAAGATCCTCAAACAAACCCTCGTTGCCTCCGGAGGGACCGCTAGCTGGCAGGAGCTCCTGGGGGGTGCCGTCGGTAGCGCCGTCTGGAATGTAATCCTTCGCATCCATACCATAGTCAGGGTCGGCGGCCGAGTCCTTCAGGTTGGTCGAGTTCAACCAGGGATAGAGGTATTGGCGAACACGGTTGATACCACTGGGGAAGAGGTTGTCCGAGGCCTTGCCAGGCTTACCAAGAACGGGGGCATGCTTGGTCTTGCCAGTGGTTGCGCTGTACTTGTCGGCGCTCAGCTCGGTGACATGCAGATCAGAGAACTCAAACTTGGTGTAGCTCAGACCGAAGCCGAACTCGAAGATTGGCTCCACATCGTCCTTGTCGAAGCGGCGGTAGTCAATCAGGTTGCCCTCGGTGAAGTCATCCTGGGGAGCGCCGTTGCCGTTGTTGGTCTCGTTCAGAATGGCGGCACCGTAGTCCTTGCGCTCCTTGCCCCAGGTGAAGGGGGTCTTGCCACCGGGGTTGATGCGGCCGTAGAGCACATCAACCAAGCTGCGACCACTCTCTTGGCCAGGAAGACCGGCCCAGACGATGGCAGTGATGTTCTCATTGTCGTACCAGTCTCCAACAAGAACGGAGCCGGGGGTGTGCATGATCACAATGGTGTTGTTGCAGTTGGCAGTAGCGGTCTTGATGACCTCCTCGCCATTCTTCCACAGAGTCATGTTCTTACGGTCGCCCATGTTGCCGTCAACGTTGATGTAGCCCTCTCCCGAGTCGGCGTTGACAAAAACCAGAGCAACACTAGCAGTAGAGGCAACGGAAGCCATCTGGTCAAGGGCCCCATTATCCGTGACGGCAAACACGTTGGTCTGGCCATTGCCGTAGTTCAGAACCTCATTCTGAATGGCCTGCTCGGGGGTAATCAGGTACGGGAAGTTGGCTGTTCCACTGCCCCAGCCCATTGCTAGGGTACCGTTGTCACAGCCCCGATCGCTGCAGCCATTGGCTCCGTAGGCGTTAGAGCCAGCATCCTCTCCCAGAACAGCAACCAAGCGCTCCTGGTGAGTGAGAGGCAGGCCACCGTTGTTCTTGAGCAAGACAGTACTGTCAGAACCGATCTTGCGAATGACATTGGCGTGATCGCGCTGGACGTTGACGCGATGGTTGAGCTTCACGTAGTTCTCGCTCACAATGTTGTGCTCATAGCCATACTCATCACGAGTCCAGGAGCTAAAGTTGGGAGGCGTACGGACACGATCACGGCCAACCTTGTAGTAAGCAGCCATGATACGAACGGCCATATCATCCAGACGCCACTCCGGGATAGTGCTATTGAGCACAGACACGGTCAAGTTAGTACCCCAGAACGAGTAAGGGCTGCCCAGGATCACATCACCGGGCATCGACATGTCCAAACCAGCAAGGGCATCGCCGACACCACTGTGGTGCGCACCCCAGTCACTCATGACGAAGCCCTGGAAGCCAAGCTCGCCCTTGAGGAGCTTGTTCAGGGTGTAGCTGTTAGAGCAGCCGTAGCTGTTGTTGATTTGGTTGTACGAGCACATGACGGAGCCGACACCGGCACGGACCGAGTCGACAAAGGGCCAGAGGTACAGCTCGTGCATGGTCTTGTCATCGATGTTGGCGCTGACACTCTCGGTGATATTGTATCCATATCCCTGAGCCTCGCCGGCCTGGCGGAAGTGCTCCTGCTCATTGCCGATAAAGTGCTTGGCGCAAGCAATGACACCAGCATCTTGGATACCCTTGATGGTCTCGGCCATCATCACACCAGTCAGGACGGGATCGGGCGCAAATCCTTCCCAGTTACGACCACCGTCGGGGTATTTTCCTAGGGGACCTGCGACCGGTCCAAGCTGAACATCAACACCTTTGTCACGGTGCTCCTCGCCCATTGCCACACCACGTTGATAGGCAAGTTGCTTATCCCAGGTCGCGGCCACATTGACACCGGCCGGGAAACCCGAGTTGTAATCGGCTGCGGAGATTCCATTAGTTTATTTCGATATTGACAAGAGCAGGATCGCCATACCGTTACGAACACCGAGGGGCGAATCTTGCATGCACATTCCCCACATTCCAAGTCTATTTTATCCTCACCTGTCAATGGCTTTCTCTCTTTCTCATCGTTGGCTTTGGGGTGTCGCGATCTTACCTGGGGATACCACCGGTCTCACCGACACAGTGTTCTTGCTCCCATCTACGTAAGCTGTCAATACCAATTTCGTTTCGTCATGCAATCTCGACGTTGTGAATCACATACCCAGCACCGGTTGTCAAATTGACCTTCTCCGCCAGAGTCAAATTAGAGACGAAATCCACGGCCCGCCGATAGGCCTCTGCCCACTCGCCTTCGCCGGTAGCCCATGGAGACGGGTAATAGGGAGGGGAGTATGCGAGGTCCTATGAGAAAAGGCTTCAATCAGCTCTTGCTAAAACGGAGATGAAGGCATCGGCTATGGCAAGATATACTCTACGCTCATGGGGTGACAAACCTTAGCACTGGCGACCGTTGCGGTCGTGAGGACGGTGGCTTCCAGCCACCCGAGCTTCATGGCTACTAAGGGGTGAGAAGCTTGTCCGGGCAAATCCAGGAACTCGGGATGTACCGAGGGAGCTGAACTGCGCAGCGGGAGTAGGAGGAGAGATGATAGGGAGTACAGCGTGTCACGATTTGCAGACGGCGGGAGAAACGGTTGATTTTAAAGTGATGTTTACACCCTCGGGGCCGGGGATGTTGATGCGTGTCGTAGTTTCCCCATAAAGTCCCAGGCACTAAAAACATGAATGGGGGGGAGGAGAAAGCAGGGAAAGTGTGGAGAAACAGAGAAACAGAGAAACAGTAAAGATCGACAAAGTAAAGTTATGAGAGTTGAGGTATTGTAGTATTGTATCGAATACAAGTCAGGTACATGCAAAATGTAAACAAACCATAAAGGGCCCAGCCACTAGTTAAGACTCTAGCTCAATCGTTGTCTCCTTGCTTGTTCCTTTAGCTGGAACTATCATACGTCGTGGCTGGAGAGTCGAGTAGTCACGTTGTCGAGATATACAGGGCAAGTAATCAACTGCCAGCCTTCAGATCGTCTCTCTGACATCTCTGTTAGAATATTAAGATCTCGGATTTCCAACTCAGTACAATCATTACCAAAGTGGAGCTTCATGAACATCCATCCCAATTCCCCCGCCCGTGCCCGAGTCTGCCGAACACTGGCAACCGCCTAAACTTCGGCTCCATTGCTACCCTGCCACTCCCACTCCCGTCACCGTGCGTCCACTCGCTCTCGTTCTCTATCTCCGCTAATTCCCCGCGCCAGCATCCAGCTGGCAGCTACCAAGTAGCTTTTGCCAACGAGTTACTACTAGCCCTAGCCAGCGTCAGGTCTCATCATGTATATCGAAGGGAGTAAGCTGACCACCATCACTGACACTGATCACTGACCTTTTCCCCCGCATTCCTCCACGTCGCAGTGTCCAGCTATATTTCATTGCAGAGACACAGCACGACTTCAGGATACTTGTCGATCATTGGCCGACTTCTATGAGATGTTGACAAAGTGCCAAATTGCCAAGAAGATTCTCCATGAGAATCCCCGATCGTCCTTCCTGATGGGGAAACTCCTACTGGGTCAATCCTATGAGCTTGGCTTCCGACATTCTGCGAGGACTTGGAGATCTTCCATAGCCTCTGCGAAAGCTCATTCGTGGCGTACTCGTTCCCACATGGCTTATGCTTGTATCTCCTGGGCTCAATCCGGCTCGGTCCACATCCAATCCATGGGTCAGGCCCGGCTCCCGTGTTTCTAACGAGGGCAACATCGAATATGTCATCAAACATCCCAAAGTATATTGAGCCTAATACTCAACAGGATCGTTTCCAGAATACTACCCACTCCATCCAAGTGCTGTGACATGATTTTTTTCCAAGTTGATTGCGATGATGCGATGGCGCAGCTATCCCCCTCGCCAAGCGTTGGCTGCCGTGGAGACCGGGGGAGATGCCCCCAAATTTGCGGGGCTCCAGGCATCAAGAAGACATGTCTCCGAGCAGAGAAACCCCACTGTGCTCGGAGACATCCCGTGCGCGGTTTTTCCCACTACTTGGTCAGCGCAACTTGCAATGAGAGGGTCTAGCCAACCAACTAAATACTACCACTAGCTAGTCTAGCTAATTAGTGGGTTAGCCCAGGTCGGTCGGATCCTGCGAATATTTACCGAAGAAGTCCTACTCATATTTTGTCTTTTACTAGCGTGTCCCAACGTCCGAGTTCAACTATTGATCTGATCATCGCACCGCAATAATGATCCCTTGTTTTTATCCCCGATCGGCTCGATCGGGCAACCTGCCGTGTCAAACAGGGACCGAGAAGCTCCACCCAGTCGGCCTTTGCGTTAGGTCATTTTACATACCGAGATGGCCTGCCGTTGTATCCGTAGTTGATGCGCCATTCGGGTTCTGCGCACCGGCATGGTAACTTTCCCCACGCTACGCACCGGCATCGGCCAGGAAGTCCGATACATCAGCCAGTCCACCCAATCGGCTCTTGTTACACAGCAGGCTTGTCGGCATTTGGATACTGGTTAAATGCATCATCCGGATTTTAGATGTTACCTTTATTCCTCTCCGCATTGACCTCTCGGCAATACGACGCGAGTGCGGAGAAATAATGCCTATGGTCGTTCCATCGGCACCGAGTGTGCGCGCCGAGCCGACAAATTTCTCCGCCCTCGCAGAGTGGGTAGCGCTACAACCATCTTATACTCCATACGATACATGGTCGCCACCGATATACGGAGTATCCTAGGCCTATCGGAATATGGTTTCCTAGGGTTGCCATTGTGGAGAGGAAGAATGGATAGATAGATGAGACTAATGGTGTGAAGGTCATGAAAGGTGGGATTGTTGAAGCCGGAAGTTCTCCGAGTACATGATTGAAGCGACATCGTACGATAGCACCGGTTGTATCTTGGGCTGACTTATAGGCTGATCTCTGTATCGTTCGCTAAGCATGGCTGTGGGCCATGCTCTCGGCATCATGTCCTCTACCTTGTCGACTATGCCCACGGCTAATCTTGGGTAAAGTCATAGTCTGCTAGCATGTCACTGTCTCTATAGTTGTTATTATGAACGTATATACGGAGTAGACCTGAGAGTCTTGATTGAATGGGGTCGGGATCTTGAAAACGCTTTGATGCTATTTGGCGTCGTTGGAAGCGATATCGATCGCTACTACTCACTTTCAAGACACTTGCGACCAAGAAAAACATAGCGAATGTTAAAATTTAGGCATTAAGAAGCTCTCAAGGTCCATGAAGCTTATGTCTAGATTTGATCAGCCAATTCGATTCTCCACATGTTGTCAACCCCAGATATTGGGGCGGTGCATGTAAATGCAGTACCATAGAGTTCCAAGTTCCCTGAATCACTTTTATTTTCCTCATGAGAGTTGACCACAATCTTCCTTTTTCTTATCGATCCCGCTCTCTCGTAATCGCTGCCATGCTCTCCTATCCGAACAGTCTACTCCTTTACCCCGTATTGTTATAGACCTTGCGGGCAATCACGTGCCCGAACATCCCGTTCCAAAATGTCACCCCTGGACGCTCATTGGCCCAATTCCCAAACCTATTCAGACAGCTGCAAACGCGGTGATGGCGAATATGAAAAAAAAGGTCATGAACAACACTCCCTTTCTGTTCATCAGACGCTTCTCCAATAACTGGGAATGGCCGATCTAGAAGCTAACAAGGCTTCGGGCCTGGACCTGGATAACCACCACCGCCCGGAGTACAAGGTCAACGACAATGGCACCGAGGTCTCAGACTCGAATGGCGCATGCCCGGAGGATAGGCACAAGTCGATTTTCCACCAGCTTGGACTCCTGGATCGGTTCCTTGCTGTTTGGATCTTTCTTGCTATGCTTATAGGTATTCTCTTGGGGAACTTCGTGCCGAGTACTGGTCCGGCATTGCAGAGGGGGAAATTCGTTGGCGTGTCTGTGCCTATTGGTAAGTTTGCTTTCTTTTTCCTTGTCTTTTCTTTGTTTCGTTATGGGTCCACGCAGATGCTGATGTCAAAGCGTTTTAGCCGTCGGCCTACTGGTTATGATGTACCCTATCTTGTGCAAAGTACGATATGAAACGCTGCACCGGACGCTTCGACAGAAAGCGTTGTGGGTCCAGATTGGGTTCAGTCTCGTTGTCAATTGGATCGTGGCCCCTCTCTTCATGGTATGCCTTTGATCAAGCGTGGTAAAACTTGGGCTATTAGTACTAATAACACTCGTGAGCAGTTGGCACTAGCATGGGCATTCTTGCCGGATGAGAAGGGGTTGAGAGAGGGATTAATCTTGGTTGGAATTGCACGGTGCATTGCAATGGTACGTTTTTATTTCTATAAAACCCGAAATGACCTTCTTATGATGTATAGCTAACAAAAGGGGGGGAAACAACAGGTGCTCATCTGGACAGGTCTTGCCGGTGGAGATAATGAGTACTGCGCCATTCTAGTCGCCATCAACTCCGTATTACAGATGGTGCTGTTCGCACCGCTTGCCATATTTTTCATCAGTATCATCAGCGACGATGATATCGATCTGCCGTATTCAATTGCAGCCAAAAGCGTGGGTGTCTTCCTCGGTATACCACTCGGCGCAGCGGTAGTGACGCGATTCGGGCTTCGCAATCTGATCGGAGCGAAACGGTATGATCAAAAGTTCCTCGTGTGGATCAGCCCATTGTCTCTCATTGGGCTGCTTTTCACGATCATCGTCTTGTTCGCCTCGCAGGGTCGTCAGGTCGTTCACCAGATTGTATCCGTGGTGCGTGTGGCGGCGCCTCTGATCGTATACTTTGCGGTGATCTTCCTGGCCACCCTGGTAATCACTCGGCGCTTTGGTTTTGGATACGAACTATCGTGCACGCAGAGCTTCACGGCAGCGAGCAACAACTTCGAGCTGGCAATCGCAGTGGCAATCGCTACTTTCGGAGTGGATAGCGATCAAGCATTGGCAGCCACTGTCGGTCCTCTTGTTGAAGTCCCCGTGCTTTTGGGGTTGGTGTATGCCGTCAAGTGGTATGGCAAGCGGAATAGCTGGTAGTGCAGCGACCATGAACAATAGATGTGTTAATAGTAATGAACTTAATCCAGGCAACAGTAGATCAAATACTGTTACTGATCTCGTCCAAAACTTGGAACAAAACTTGGTTCTCAACTCGGCATCCATCCCCTCTAGTCCCGGCTTTGAATCCAGCCCAGAGTCTTTTTCGAATTTCCTCAATATCGATGCCGCTGGTATTGTACTGGTTGATCAATTCTTCCGCCATGCCACAAAGAGTCGTGTTAAGTAGATCACCATCACCTTCCGGTATCTGGGCGCCTGGTGAGCAATCGCAGAGGGAAGGATTCGCGCGCTTCGGCTGGATCGATGGCTGTTGCGGAGGCTGCTGCAACACCTGTTGCGGTGGTTGTTGAGAGGGTTGTTGTAAAGGTGGTTGCAAAGGTGATTGTGGCTCTTTCGGTTCAACTTTCACGGGTGCACAGCTGGTTGGTCCGCAACTGCTCTGCGCGCAATTCGTGGGGCCGCAAGTACTCGGTGCAGAGGCAACCGGAGCACAAGCATTGGGAGCGTAAGTTATTGGTGTGTAGGACGTAGGTGTACCGGCAGTCTCCCTCGGGGTTGAGCCATCAGTTGCCGTGCTACATGTACTTGAGGCGCTTCCGCGCGCAGAGCTTGACCGTGGGTTGGTCTCTGAGGAAGTAGAGGGAGATAATACCGGCAGCTCTGCCGGTCGCTGCATCGCGGGGATCGCGACTTTTCGATTCACCACCGTACCTTGATCGGCTAGTTGTAGGTACTGTTGAACCAACTCCGCCGAGATTCCAAGAGACCCTAGTAATGTCCTCAAGTGGCGGTTCTCCGCTTCGAGTTTCTGGCTGGCCAGCCGGTTCTGGATGTCTTTCTGCTGGGCTTCATTCTTGAATGTCGCCAGTCGTTGCTCGAGCTCACGGACATACTCCTGCTTTCGCGCTCGACTCTTTCGCTGATTCTCACGGACACGCGCCAGGCGCTCGACGTTCTTCAAAGGAGTCAGGCAACAGCATTCATGGAGTATCTTGGTGGGCTAACGATTCTGGGTGAGCAACGCACCTTCTGGCTGTTCTCGGCGTCCATCGTGCGCCAATCCTAGGAGAATCACACACGATTCTGTAGCTGCTTTGCAGGGATAAGATCAAGCCTTGAGGCGTTCGCTACAATCGAATCGCGGCGTCACCATTTCCATGTCTCCTGAGTCTCGAACCCTATTTCGCGGTGGCTTGAATGTCACGTGTTTGGAGCACGTTTTCTGCCTGATGCATCTGGTATTCGCTCAGTGGCGACTGTGCATGCTGACCAAATGAATTGCTAATCTTAAGTTTTACTCTAGAAAGCAGGCATAGCTTAGGTTCCCCCAGATCGCATACTCCTACTTGACATGGCCCCTTTTTCGCCAATCTCCGATCTTTACAGATTCGCGGTGGTCTGCGCAGGGTTTCACACGCAAGGGGAGGCAAAAAGGGGAAGTTGCGCCGATTGGGTAGCCTCCCCATAGAGTCCATGCCCAGCAAAGCACGAGCCTTCCCCGGGGTAAAGAAAGTCATAGTTCTGGCTTTGCAACAGTTAAAGTCCTTGAAGCGGGGGATATTAATCACATTCATTACATCAATAATCATGGAATCTCCAGGTCAGGCCGGAAGGCAAATCCACTGCATGATCTACCCGCAAACGATCACCTCGGATGCTCGGACGACGTCACTGCCCGTCAGTCGAGGCAATCGAGGGCGAATGGGAAACTTTAAGAAACTCTGGACAAGGGATCGCCTGGAATGCGACCCCCCCAGCGTTCTTCCTGAGGGCCGCTAAGCACGAACACTGCTTTTTCTCAATCATTCTATGCTCCTCGGCCCCGGATGTGAAGGCTCATTCCTGCCACTTTCCTCCCGCTGTAATAGCTCCGTCTGCTGCGAGCTCGCGTGTTACACTTCTCCTCTCCCTTCGAGATTCGGGTCTGATCTTCGCGACCCGTTCTAGCCTGTCATGGTCTCCACGCGACATCATCCCCGCGACTTTCCCTCGCCAGAGAAAGCTGCCAAAGAGCTCGTCAAGTCGTCGCCCGCGCCGACCACCAACGGTACTGCGCGCAAATGGGTTCATACCCCATCTGCCGCGCTAACGATCTGGCTCGTCGTCTCGGTTCCTCTAGTCATATGGGATGCGGCCTATATATTCTTGCGACCGCATAGCATGCCCGGTGGTCGCTTGCACTCGCCCATCTGGACCCCCTATGCGCTATACGGGACCGTCGACTACCTTTATGGTTGGCCTGCATACAATGCGCGTAATGGTTTCACTGCCGCGCAGACCGCGATGAACGTGGTCGAGACCCTGGGCTACTTGTACTACCTGTGGATTGTGTACCAACACGGTGCTACGGTCGTGAGTGGTCGCGGCGGCAAAAAAGTCAAGAAAGGCTTCGTGTGGCTTCTGACTGGCGAGAAGGTGGTTGCTGGCCGGACTGGCGCAATCGCACTCCTGGTTGCTTTCACCGCGTCGGTCATGACACTGAGCAAGACTCTACTCTACTGTACGTCGATTTTTGTTTCCTTGTTCGATTGTTTTCTGATAATTGATTTTGATAGGGTTGAATGAGTTCTTTTCGGGCTTTGCAAATATCGGCCACAACAGCGCTGCTTCGATTATTATCCTGTGGATTATTCCCAAGTAAGTTGCGCCTAACACCTTCGATCTACATTCCCAATCACCTTGAAGTTTGATCTAATGAACCCGTCTACTATAGCGGTCTCTGGATTGTTTTCCCGGCCTACAGTATTTCTATTCTTGGCGAAGAGATCCTGAACTCCCTGGAGCAGGTCCCACCGCGCCGTCCTGGCCGGCCAAAGTCCTCATAAGCTGGTGATGAATAGAAAGGTCCGAAGCCGTATCAGGGATCAAGCTCGACCCACATCATCGTGCTGTTGAGTCCATTAATTCTGCTGCAATGGGCTAGCAGGTTTGTTTCTATTACCGTTAGAGCTATTGGTGCAAATGGGAGAAGTTGTGCGTCACGACTCGTGTAAGAACGATGAAGAGGAAAATTTGTGGTACCAGTCTCTCGGCAACAGTGAAGGCCCTTGTGACTATCACTGTATACATTCTTACCTTGTTAACAAAGATCGGAGCACTGCTGGCCTTTCTGACCAGTCGCCAGCGCGGATGCCAACCAACCGATCGATCGTGCTACCATGGAGGTTCGGACCGAATGCGGACCACCTGCAGGGAGCTTGAGGGACATGGGCGCTGGCCTAGTAATAGTGTGAAAACCCATATTCAATAGCTTTGATGTGATCATCCCATGGCAATCAATATGGGGTCTGTCGCTCCCTTTTAAGGACCAAAAGTGTAGATCGAACCGTTGCGACCATAGCCGAGTTCGGGTGTGAATCACCGGAGTATGTAACCCTGTGGCCCCGAACCTCGTGGGCCTCAGCTCTGTTCTCTTTTCCCTCCCGTTTTGCTCAGCCATAAAGCTGGTCGACTTGTGGCTGAAGTCAGATAGCTTCTTATTTGCTGCTCCATATATTGCTGATGTGGACGTTGACAGCTCAGTAATTGACAGGCTACCAGTGGACGAGCCTGCCAAGCCGCCATTCGCCGAAACCTTTCCCCATATTCCTCCCTCGTTCTCCTCATTTTCTCCTCCAACCCAAACTTCCTCCCACCGCAGTCACCCGGCATCCCACGCTTCGCATCACGCCGAGAAGAAAAAAAATATCCATCGCATCGTCCCAGGCTGGAGCTTCCATATCTCCGCTCTGCTCCGACCACGCTGAACGATGCTCGGGGCCTGGGTCCTGGGGTATCCGCACCCGTCATGATCCCTGCCGACTCGGACGACTCGCCATTGAAGACTTCTGGTGCTAGCTTCGGCTTAGTCCAGGAAGATTCAACGGCAGGCCTAGATGATTTCGATACACAAAGTCATGCAAGCTCCCGCGACCACGGTAGCACACATGCCCACGACCCCGCAACGGGGGCCGACAGTGGTGGACTAGACAACCAAGGCGACGATACGACACGAGACGGCGCCGGGGAGGGCGCCGAGACCGTACCGCTCGATAAGGATGGGCGACCGGCCTGGAGTGAAATGAAGACCAAGGCGGGGAAAGAGAGGAAGCGACTGCCGCTGGCCTGCATCGCTTGTCGCCGGAAGAAGATCCGGTGCTCTGGCGAGAAGCCCGCGTGCAAGCATTGCACTCGCTCACGAATTCCCTGCGTCTATAAGGTTACGACGAGGAAGGCAGCCCCGCGGACCGATTATATGGCCATGTTGGATAAACGTCTGAAGCGGATGGAAGATCGCGTGATCAAGACGATCCCCAAAGATGAGACGAGAGATATGCACTCGATCGGGCGCTCGGTGGTGAAGCCCTCTGTACAAACACAGGCTTCGAAAGCCCAAAAGAAAAGAAGCGCCGATGAAGCGTTTGCGGCGGAGATGGAGGACTGGACACGAGGAGAGCGTCGTCCACCACATGAGACCTTCCCGATGACCCGCGAACCCAAGTCGACCGATGGCACCGGCCTTTTAACCGAGGGCGCGGAATTCTTGCCTTCTCTAGAGATCCAGGAACACCTCGCAGAGGTCTTCTTCGACTGCGTGTACGGCCAGTCATACCTCCTTCTACATAAGCCCAGCTTCATGCGACGGCTCAAAGCCGGCACCGTTCCCCCCGTCCTTATCCTTGCTGTTTGCGCAGTATCCGCGCGATTTTCCACCCACCCGCAGCTTAACTCAGAACCTCCCTTCCTCCGAGGAGAAAATTGGGCCAATCCGGCGGCGGCCATCGCTCTGAGCCGGCACGACGAACCGAATATTACTATTTTGACCGTCTTTCTACTCCTTGGATTGCATGAATTTGGAACATGTCATGGTGGAAGAAGTTGGTCCTTTGGAGGACAAGCATTGAGGATGGCATACGCGCTACAGCTCCACCAGGAGCTTGAGAGTGATCCATTGCTCAGTCAAAAGAATGGCGCCAATTCGCAATTGAGCTTCACGGACCGTGAGATTCGGCGGCGCACCATGTGGGCATGCTTTTTGATGGATCGTTATAATTCATCCGGAAGTCAACGGCCACCGATTGGAAATGACAGGTTTCTCCAGATCCAACTGCCTATCAAGGAGACCCATTTCCAGATGGAAATTCCTGGGCCCACGGAAGATTTGGACGGAGACGTGCTCAATCCCACACCCGATAACTCTGGTCAGCTATCTAATGCCAAGGAAAACATGGGAGTGTCGGCGTACATCATCCGAGCTATCGTCATTTGGGGACGCATTGTCGACTATCTGAATCTTGGCGGTAAAAGAAAGGACCCTCAGCCGCTTTGGCATCCTGAATCGGGATACATGCGACTGAAACGGCAAATCGAAGAATTCTCAGCCTCACTTCCAAGTGCTCTGACTTTCACCTACGAGAACCTCCAGATTCACGCTGCGGAGAAGATCGCAAATCAGTTCTTGTTCCTGCACATAATCACGCATCAGAACATGCTTTTCTTGAATCAATTTGCCATTCCTCTGTCTCCTGGTGGGCGGCCTCCTCGAGACATGCCGAAGCCATTCCTCAGCAACGCCGGCCGAGCCGCTGTGGAGGCGGCCCATCATATTTCCGTGCTCTTTGATCGCGCATCAGCCTATCCACTTACAGTTCCCTTTGCTGGGTACTGTGCATATACGGCGAGCACTGTTCATATTTGGGGAATCTTCTCCAAGAATGTGCAGTTGGAAGCCCGGTCAAAAGAGAATCTACGCCACACCTATCGCTATCTGAATAAGATGAAAAAGTATTGGGGTATGTTCCACTACATGGTCGAGAGTGCCAAAGACCGATACCGACAGTTTGCCGATGCCGCCATAAAGGGATCTGCAGCAACGCAGAACGGCACTTCTCTGGCTCCCATGTTCCAATATGGTGACTGGTTCGACAAGTATCCTCATGGTGTCTCGAGGCTGCACTGGGAAGATCCAGACACTCGACACAAGGAGACGGGCGAGGACGCAGTCATGGGTCAGAAACCTGACCTCCAGAGCGTGGAAGACTTCTTCGCCAGTCTTTCTCCAACACCGCAGCACGCCGTGCCGCGCAGAACCCGCTCGCGGAAGAACAGCAAATTGTCCGATGGCACTCCGAATCCTAATATGGACCAGTCTCCCCGGTCCATAGATATCGCCATAGGCAATACTCCCGGCGTTCCAGGCAGCGCTTTCCCCCAGCCATCTCTGTTCTCCCAGAACGGAGCCATGTCATTCGGCCAGTCACCCTTTGACTTCAGCATTCCACCGGATCAATTGCCACAGTTGGATCGGCAGTTCGTATACGGGTCGTTTTCTGACTTCGATCCTACCAACTTTGTTCCGCAGAATAACCCTTCAATGCCACCCCCACCACCGGTCAATGGTGTGGAGGCCCAAACCCCAGATCACTCTCTCTTTACTGGTCACCTTGATCCAGGCGCCCCGGCCGGGACGGGCGAGTTCTACCAGCCCAGCGCTTGGTTCCTACCCTTCAACCTTGATCCGATCAGCAGCGGTCCACCCCCACAATCAGCAGGAGGGCCAACTTCTGCCCCGGGCCCGGGCGGCGATATATCTGGGTTAGGTGGAGCAGGCAACCTGCCCTTGAGTGCGTATGACCTCCGAATGAGCGGGTCAGACTTAAAATGAGATGGACGGCAATGATAGTCTTGGATACCCCCGGATACGTCTGCTACCTTTTCGATGACCGCAATGTGGTGTTTTATTATTCGTTATATGAATGGTTTCTTAGGGCTGGTGGGTTTCGTTCCCTTTTATTGTCAATCAATTATATTTGTGGAAAGCCTGGGATAATTGCGATGCTTTTCTCCCTCTTTAATCGTGTATATATGCTTCGACTTATGGTCAAGCAGTCCAGTCCGCTTCCCAGCCTTCTTCTATAGTAGCAGGTCCTCCTAATGTACGTAACCTTGTTCGCGAATACCCAAAAGTTCAGTAGATTCAGTTAATCTACCCTAGTATTGTCCTTTGATTAAAAAAAAATTTCACCGGCCCCTCTCCAAGTCCTATTAACTCCGCTGCACACCCAGGATTAGGGCACACCACCAGCAACGATATGCAAAAATGCAAAAAGAAGAAGTGTGCATCATCCGTGAATCGAACACGGGCCTCGTCGATGGCAACGACGAATTCTACCACTAGACCAATGATGCTGGTTCTTGTAGAATTGCGGCGGAGAATGCTTTATGAACGGTCCACTAAGTGGGTGGGCCCCGGTTGTCTGCGCTGGACCAGATTTTCTAGGTTGGACTCGGTAAGCCAATCGGCAAGCCGATAGCAGGCTATTGCAATATTAGAATGAGTTCTCTGAGTTCCGCTAGAGCTAGCATATGGATATAGATGGACTTGGTTCATAAAGCTAGGTAGGATTCAGGACTGGCTTAGGGTAATGGAATGTGTGGAAGCTGATGTGGTTGTCGGAATATATAACTGCAATACCGTATACCTGGTTCCCCAAAAGCCCTTGAAGGATATATAGCTGGAGAATGTAGCGAAAGGCTATGTGGAATATCATTCCATAGCCCCATAAATCATTCACAGAGCAAGAGTGCATACTTCAAAGCTACAATTGTTGCTGGATCTTCCCTTCCGTTTGCTGCTGTCTGTGCCGGCTGTTGACAGAACCAGGTCTTTCGTTAGCGTACCTAGAGCCCTTCCCGTTCCCTTTCCACACGCGATCGAACTGCATTGCCTCCTTTCCTGCTCCCTTGTGAGGGTAAGTTGCATTTGGTGACGGGAAACAAGATAGTGACCAGCATCTGCAACTGGACCCATGGAAACGACAGATTTTACGCACACTCAACCGTGTGTAAATGTACTTAGATAGCCTAGCCTCCAGCATGAGGTACTAATACCATTTTGAACATTTAAATCATTGATTGTATCCAATGCGGCAACCTAATTCTATACCGAGCGAATACCCGAAAAGGCAAGTGGTACCATGCCGAGTTCACGAGTAAAGATCAAGATACAGTTCTTCTAGTCATCCCACTCCTCATCAAGCTGATCTATGAGTCGATTCTCAGCATCCACATCCCGTCGCCCGCCTTGTCCACCACCACCTCGGCCACCAATCGCACCCATGAACCCGCGACGGCTGTCACCGTCAGCGCGGACATATCCGCTGCTCGAAGGGGATCTTTTGAGGCGAAGGCACCTCCCAAGTGACGAGAAAATGATAACGAACATGTCCTGATGTTGGGCAAAGAAGAGACGGTCAGCCTGAGCCCTCTCCCAGGAACGGCCATAAAGCAAAATCACAGTCAAGTCTCTCGAGGCAATGGCATAAAGCAAGATTCCTGAAGTACTGGGTACAATGAAATACTCGTAACTGGCTAAACTGAGAGAGAACAAACAAGTGCACCGCAGAGTGGAAATTGTGGCGTCTTTCTCTGAAAGTCACCAGGGATATACATGCCGTAGTGGACGCGCGAGGATGCTGCAGCGACACCTGCATGGAAATGACACACCCGGGACCATCCACAGAGCAAGGCAACCCAAGAAGATGAATGAATGAATGAAACAAATACCAAGAACCAAGCACGCGCCCTTTTGATGCAATTGGACTCTAGACCAGCTAGAGCCATCTCAATCCAACCGAGAAACGGGTAACCCGGACGAGCTTGAATCTCCATACTTGTACGAAGATACATTGCCATGCCTGAACCTTTGAGACCGACATGGCACCAACACCAGGAGACATACCTTGACAAAATCGAACATGCCAGCCCATAGGCTGAAATTAGGGCACTGGCGCCAACCGCGCTGGTGCATGACTGTCCGTTGATACGCGCAGCCACCAATTAGGTAAGCAGCCACAGCAATGAGCATACTAAACAGGAAGTTAGCATTAATTGAGACACGGCTGTCAAGATATTCAGAAGGAAGCCTCACATCACACCGAAGACTCCACCCGGCCCCAGCCCACCGTCATTCGGGTCCACTGCGATTCCTCCACATGCAGCCGAGCTGCGAACCTCGAAGAAATATGTGCATGAATCCATGGTACCCACGAAGGAAGTTGTGGCCGTGTTTGCCGGTGCATCACGGTCGCAGAGGAAGGACATGATGGTGGATTTGGTGCGCGCGGAGGAGTTCTTGCTGGCGGTGTTCCAATCACCGGGGCATGGGGAGCCATTCGTATAGTTGAGGACAAGCTTGCGACCCCTAAAGAAGGGTTCGGAAGCTTGCTCACTGTGGGAAAGCGAGGAGAATGTTAGCTTCTAGCGGGCCTACCGACCGAATACAGAGCATCTTACCCTATCGAGTATATCTTCCCCGCTTGCTCGTAATATGCGCTGACATTCTTCCACCGCGAAGACTCTACCCCAACGACATCCTCGATATCTTCAATGACCGGCGCGCAGACGTTCACGGTGAAATTCGCGGGGTAGTCGTGCCCTTTGGCGTGCCAGCTTTCTTCCCTCGCATCCTTCTCGACCTTCTTGCCGTTCTTCATTTGCGGTGGCGATAGCGAGATCGCATTGAGATCAAAGTAGAGGCCGCTCGTTGGTGAGCGAGCTACACAAGGGGCGTCATCGTTGAGGTGAGAGTTATGATCCGAGGCAGCGTTGGCGAGACCCGAGATGGCGGCCCAGAAGAGGAGCGAATAATGAGCGGAACTGGACAGCTTCATGGCTGTGGGTGTAGGGTCACCAAGGACCGGATAAAAACGGAAGAGGAAATAAACGAGCGTTGAGAGTTTCTGTCAAGAGGCCAGCTCTCTGGTTTGTGGATGATGTTGAGTAAGTTCCAAGTTGGAAGGTGAGGAGGCGGAGACCTGGAGCAGCTTACGTTGCATGCAGGTACAATCTGATTGGCAACCAACGGCCAGCGAGTCGATGCGGAGAAGTGACCCGCGGGCGCCGGCGGGTTCACGGGATCCGGTATCGTACGCGCTTGTGGCCAAGCTTCCACAGCTTCCACCGATTCCAAGGGTCTATATAATTCGGCCTATCACCCCGCCCCGATTACCAGGCTAGCCCCCAATTGCTCAGTTCCACTCTGGTTGTCCTCTGCGGTTCTCACTATGGCGCCCAAAAAGGCTGAGAAGCCTCAGATCCCAATCCAACCTGTCCCAGAAAAACGCGGCTACGAATTTTGTGGGCCGTACGTTTACTCTGATTACTTCTCAAATTCGTTGTACTGACTGGCACCACAGTCCAGGAGCCTTCGCAATCGTCTTCGGTCTCCCTCTTCTCGTCTATACATTCACCTTCCTTTGCAATGATGTGACGGGGTGTCCCGCGCCTTCGCTCCTGAGCCCCTCGACCCTGACCCTCGACCAGCTCAAGCGTGACGTGGGATGGCCCGAAGAAGGCATTCTTGGGCTCTATGATACTCGGGTTACACTGTGGACGCTGAGCTACTATGCTTTCAGTCTGTTCTTGCAGGTCTTCCTGCCTGGTCAGGAGGCGGACGGCGTGCCCCTGGCATGCGGTGGAAGACTGAAGTACAAGTTCAATGGTATGAAAAGCAACTTGGAAAGATAGCACGCGCAGAGAAGAAAGATTGCTAACTCAAACTCTTACAACAGCATTCAAGTCCGCAATCATCATCCTCTCTGGCCTGGCTACGGGTACCTACATGTACGGCGCTGATTTCGTGGTGTGGACATTCCTGTGGGAGAACTATGTACAGGTCATCACCGCGAACCTCTTGATTTCTTCATCGGTTGCGCTTTTCGTCTACCTGAAGAGCTTCACAGTTCCTCAACCCGGCAAGCCCAACCAAGAGCTCCGCGAACTGGCACCCGGTGGTCACACTGGCAACCTCTTGTACGACTTCTTCATTGGCCGGGAACTCAACCCTCGAATTCGTCTCCCAATCCCATTCGTCAGCGAGGTATCGCGGACAATTGATATCAAGGTGTTCATGGAGATGCGCCCCGGTCTGCTCGGTTGGACTATTCTGAACCTCTCCAATGTGGCTCATCAGTATCGGACCTACGGCTACGTGACTGATTCCATCGTTCTGGTCACTATCTTCCAAGGCTTCTACATCCTGGACGCGCTGTACATGGAGCCTGCGATTTTGACCACAATGGACGTGATCATGGACGGCTTCGGATTCATGTTGTCCTTCGGTGACGTTGTCTGGGTTCCCCACATCTACAGCATCCAGAGCCGCTATCTCGCCGTCTTCCCCCTTGAGCTTGGCTGGAGTGGAATTGCCCTCGTCTTGGGAGCCAGCGCTGTTGGATATTCGATCTTCCGCGGTGCCAACAACCAGAAGAACCGCTTCCGCACGGATCCCAATGACCCCCGTGTGAAGGACATCAAGTTCATCGAGACTGCCAGTGGCTCGAAGCTGATGGTTTCCGGCTGGTGGGGTCTGGCTCGGCACATCAACTACCTGGGTGACTGGATCATGTCGTGGTCCTACTGCCTGCCTACTGGCATTGCCGGATATGCTATCATCGAAAGCATCAACCCCGCCAGCGGTGTCCTCCAGAAGCAGGCTGTGCAGACCCCCGAGGCTCGCGGTTGGGGTATGATTTTCACCTACTTCTACATGCTGTACTTCGGAGTCTTGTTGGTTCACCGCGAGATGCGCGACGAGGAGAAGTGCAAGAAGAAGTACGGCGCTGATTGGGACCGCTATACCTCAATGGTCCGCAGTCGCATCATCCCGGGTATCTACTAGACAGTCTAATTTGGATAGTTTGCCCAGGGAAAATTTCCTGTATTTGTTTGTATGACTTTACATGAATTGGAGGGAGACAGGAAGGTCGGATTGTATTCCATATTGACCGTGAAATGGCATCGTTGGTGGGCTCGTTCCTTCAAAAAAGTGTACATTATGAATGGCCTTTTCTACGTTTATTGGCCTGGGGAGGCCAGAAAAGTTTCCGCATACGTGAAGCCGGCTTATCACGCGTTATTCAATTAATTGTAATATTTTTTCGTCATTGACTTCTGTCAACCCCTACGCTTTTTGGGATCAACTAGAACATCTAGGCTCCAGCTTTCATCCCCCGTATTCGGCACCCACCCCTTGAGGACCAGTTTAGCATCGTGAATCGCTTCATGACGAATATGAAGAGGATCTGTGATATCGCCTCCGGTCTGCTTGAACTCTTCGTATGTGCTCGCATCCTTGATAGGGAGGGATATCTCATTGTCATATATACGGGTTTGAGCCCTCTCAAGTTCACGGAGGCACTCTTTTGATCGAAGGATATTTCGAAGAAGACCCCATAGCTTAGCGCGAGATAGCGATGACGCCCCTCGTGCCGTAGGAGTAGTGAGTCTGTTACCCTGCTTAACGCCATTGATAATCGTCTCATATAGACCGGTCTTTGAACCTCCCAGGGTCGGTAGCGTCTTACTACCAGTGTCCAATCTCATCACACAAGGATGTGGCAGTGAGGACGTGGCCGTCCATACGGAGCTGACGTTACCCGGCTTGCTCTTTTTGAGAGGGACGGTAGAGTCGGTGCTATCACTTTGCTGCTCTGATGGTAGCACAGAGCGGGATTTGACAGCCTTTGGTTTCGCAAATGGCCAAAGCAATTCAACTTCCTCAGCAGGAACCGAGAGTACCTCGAATGGTCGAAATCGATATCCAATCTCTCTTCCATCGCGCTCTGTATTTATCGGCCATGATCGACCCGCCAACGCCTTCATGCGGCCATTCTCCCCGAAAGATCTTTCGCACCCGGCTCGCGTAATCTCATCTTCTGGAAGAATGAGGCCAGCTAGGTATGCGTTCTCCGTTGGGGTAACTAGATGGCTTGTTTCGCAGGACAGCAAGGACGATACTTGACGCAAGGCGAGTTTATCCGAACAAGATTTGCTTCGAGTCGATTCTGCGTCCATGCGCGCTGGCTTTCGGCGGACGACGCCGAGAAGAGAGAAGTGAGCTCGGCCATCGAGGAGATTTTCCTCTTGAAAATCGCCCGGATGCGGTGAGCTTGCATCGGAAGGGCGTGTCACTTGCCACGGTGTCGCGTCGTCTTGTGCTGCCATACATAGTTCCATGCTCGCATCTCCACATGGGGCGCATGTACAGTACATGTAGAATTTGACGTCGGGTTGAATCTCGAAGGGAGGCCAGTTGACTCCTGCATCTGTCCTGGGCTGTGTTTGTTTTCTTCTGCGAATAAACGGAGACTTTGAGGCATGGCAGTGCTCAGCATCAATAGCATCATCCGAATTGATGGCTTCGTTGCTCTCCTTTATCGTCAAAGCATGGCATTCATTTAGGAGCCAGTAGTTGAAAGCGCGAATGGCCAAGATCTCGGCATGACAGTCATGGAGAACGAGGCCTTGACAGCGCGGGATATGGGAAGCTGGTAAGCATTTTGCTCCAGTACTATATGTATGTTAGTTGAGAACATGATAAAAAACAATCTCATGAAACAAGCATCGCAAGGATCTATCGTGAGCCGAGAAACGTACGTGACAGATATGCAATGTAGGCGTTCGGAATCTGTATTTTCTCCTATCGGAAAGTCATTATATTGTTATGTTGTAGAATCAATAAGACTGCTGCACATACCCTTGAAAGCCACGATACCAGTCATTGGAATCCACTCTCTAGACCCATCGGGAAATATCTTTGGTTTGCTTCGCGCCGGCAAGCCGTCGAAATGCGTGTGAACCAGCGCCGCTATTCGAGATGCCAGCGGCGTCTTCCGTGTGAGATCAGACATTTTATCCATTCTCTGCGCGCTATAAATTGCCTTGTATAATCATTATACGCATAATTCGTTCGAGCATAGAAGAAAAGCGTCAGGCTTTCGAAAATGTGATTTTATATCCGTCACGTGATCACCCGCTCACCTTGCCGTGATCAGACTTCATTCCAGCTATCACTCGGTTTCCACTCTACCAAACACACTCAGACTCAAACCAAGTCTCCATACCTTCAAAATGGCCGACAAGCTCCGCACGCTCCAGAATCTCGAGGCTCTACAGGCCCGTTACATCGGTACCGGTCACGCCGACACGACCAAGTACGAGTGGCTGTCCAACATCAAGCGCGACAGCTGTGCTTCCTACATCGGTCATAACCCACTGCTCTCTTATATGGCCGTTGGCTTGGGCGAACCCAAGGAGAAGGTCCGCACGAAGATGCTGGAGAAGATGGTTAGGGGTGCTGGTAACCCACCGGAGGTATGTGCTCATCTTGCGTCCACCGCGATTTATTAGAGAGTTTGTCCGCTAACAAGTTCCTCCTTTAGACTCAAGAATAATGACTTTCTCAAATCGGCTCCTTTACCTCTCAACAATAATAACGAATACCCCTACCTCTTGCCATCAAGAGAACCTCTTCCAGAACCCATTCCCGGTCCGCATCGCCGATTTGTGTTAACCCGTCTGAAAGTACATGAAGATGCCTCGCCGCGAGCTGTTGAGTCATCTGCTACCATGGGCTGGGCCACATAATGTGGTTTTACACAACAATCGTGTGGGCAACGCTTCTGCATTGCACTATAGACTTCGTTGCGTTTCATGTGTCTTGACAGAGCGAGTCTCAACATACAAGAGCTATGCAGATATTTGCAGCATCGTCCTTTGCTTAATCCGATGGCCATTGAATTTCTGAACGATCAAGTCGACTTGATGCATCTGCGGTCTTCAAACCGAGAATATTTTCGTCAGCGTCCGGGGATTAGAGTTTATCAATCATTTACAGGCAATAGAGAAACTCTTAACGGGGGCTTTCTTTATCACGAAGCTGAGGATCACTCGTGAATCAAAATGTATATACACTAGGAAACCAAATGAGAAGACCTTGCCAGTAAGAAACTCCGACCATATATACTTAAGGAATGCCAAATTATGACTACGTACACGCCGTGAGGAGAAAACCTCCATAAGCCCCCGTTCACTCAACTTGACTCTTCCTTCCCAGCCAATTTCTTATTCTCCGCCTGTAATGAAGACACAAGATCCACCCACTTCTCACGCTCCGCGCGTAATTGACTAATTTCCTTCTTCAGGTCCTTCACTTCCTGTCGCAATGTCTCATTCTCAGATTTCGATTTCGACTTCTCCGAGCGTTCAACCTGCTTCCGCTGTCGTGTCTCAATCTTAGAAGCCACCTTTAGCTGACTGCCTTCGATCTTGCGTAGTTGCTTCAACAGCTTCGACTCCTCGTGGAAGAGCTGTGCAGCAGCTTTGTGGATATGTGCAGGCGGTTCCGGTTTCTGCGTGCGTTCAGATGACGGTGTGTCGCCAGGGCTCCCATCACCACTGCCGTTGCTCTTCTTGCTCTGTTGAGTACCAGAGGAGGAGGTTGGAGTCGAAGTGGAATTTTCGGCTGTGCGTTTGGGTAACACGCTCTTGTCGCTGTCTACATCATTGGAGATGCCCCGGGATGGAGTGGAGGTGCTGCTTCGCTCTGGGATGTGCAGCTTGTCCAGCTCGGAGCGGACAGTTTCAAGTTTGGCATCGATTTCGCGCTTGCGTAAAGCAAGCTTGGCTAGATCCTTTTCATGGCTTGTGAGTTTACCAGCTTTGGCTATCTGCATCAATTCTGCGGGTGGGAGGTCATTTTGAGGGATATCGTCTAGTGCCGGGGTGCCGAGTCCAGACTGGACGGACGATAGCGAGACTTGGTCAGGGAGAGTATCACGCGGCTTGGTACCAGACGAGATGCTTGACTTTGACTGAGGAGCTGAATGCTCATCTTGGTTATTTTCTTCTTCTGGGACCCCGACGTTATTGGCTGAATGACCTGGATCTGTCCCATGATGTGGGACATAGTCGAAAAATGCTTGAGGTGCGAATCGTTCCAGACCAGAGTTGAGTAGACCAGTCACACTGGCAATCAGACCGTGATGGGACTGGGTATCGGTCTCCACAGAGTCCGTATCTGAATCCGACAGGCTGCCTTCATCTGAAATGGGCTCTTCGGTGGATTCTCTGGGTTGAACTCCAGGACTTCCAGTGGGCGAAGCCGCAATGCGCTTCCCATGCTTTTGTGGCTTGTCGTCCTCCACGGCCCAGTTGACAAATTTGGCAGCATCTACCCCGACACTCTTCGGTGTGCCTTTGTCAACCATCCACCTGGGAATGTTGCCACCAGGATCACTCCTGGTAACCATGATCCACTCGACAGGATTAGTTTCTTCTTCCTCGTTATCTGTAGCATCAACTCCACCTTCAATCAAGGCATCTCCAATGTGGTTGTCAGCTTTTGACGAGCTTATAGCCGTGGAGCCATCCTCTTTCGACTTCTCCAGAGCGCCCTTGCTAGAGGAAGAGCTGCTGCTAGTCACTCTGGGGATCTCCCGAATGAGTTCCACGGATTCATACTCGCCTCGAGTATACCCGTTCTTATGCGGTACGTCTGGATGGTCACACGGCTTGGAGATCATCATCCAGCTCCGGCCAGGCTGTTTCGTTCCGCCAATTTGAAGCCCGACATCCGATGTGATGATCATAGCCACAAAGTCCCGTGGCGCCGTGGGCTTGGGGAATTGAGCCGAGACGTGATAGACCGTTACCTGGCCCAGCACGGAGCCATCCTCGTCTTTGACCTCAACTGACTCGACCTTTTCTTCTGCTCCAATACCACGAATGCAATGATTCGGCGTTTCTCCCTTCTCAATCTTCCGTCGGTTAACCTTGAGGGTCTCCTCATATTCCGAAGAGAGCTTCTTCCGCCACCGGGAAAACGGAAGTCCGTCGTGTATGCTCCGTCGTCCAAACCAAGAGCCCTTCCCGTCATTGGAAGATAATTTCCAGACATGCAATCCAAGAGGGTTATCCTTTGCACCGCCCATTTTTATTGGCTTCCCCCATTGCTTCTGGATCGACGTAATCTCCGAATCGGTCTCGCCCACCCGTGCGGACGACGGGGCGATTCGTGTGCTAGATCTGGAGTTCGTTGCCTGTGATTCCAGCTCATGATATTCTTCACGGTCGTATGGCGGAGGGTCTGGGAGAGATTCTCCTATGAGGCGGCCGCTCTTGAAGATTTCGCGGACGTATTCACGGAGCGCATCGGGGGATTGAGGAACCTGGTCCCAGGACGTCGGCAGGAGGATTTGGAGGGCATCGTGCAAGGCGGCCATGGGAGCGCCTGAGAGTCGGTAATCGAATCAATTGGAGTTGTGCTAAAAGGAGAAATATTTACGATCGTATAGCGACTGTAATTCACGGGTTATGTTAGCGATGATCAACGCGGCGCATAAGAGGACAGGCTCCAGCTTAAGCCTCGTGGTCGACCATGTTTCGCAGGAGGAGCAACAACCCTCCAAGAAGACATATAGAGACATACCACGCTTTGGAGAAATAAGTGAGACAACGTGAGGCTCAAGTGACTCTGAAATGCTCAAGACAGATCTCAAGACAGATGGTCAGCCAGCGCGAAGAGGGGTAGAGCGATAAGCCGCAAGATTCCGGTGGTAGTAAGCCTCAAAGAATGCAACGGCCGGTCAAAATGCGAAGGATTCAGATGAAGCGCTTTTGTATACCTCGTCCACCAAAGCCTTGTCAATAGTTAACCGCGCAAAGAGTACATGCATCGCAAGCAAGTCACTGTGAGTGTACAGAGTAGTTGTATCCCTGCTTAGCGCTTCCCCCGGGTTTTCTGACGTCATCGGTGGTGGAGCGGGCGTCTTAGCTTGTCTCGGCCCCGAAGAATTACTGTAGTGGGAAATGGTACCTGATTTTTCAGGATTATATTTGTTATGCGAAGTTCTTGCTTGAGGATTTTGGGCCTGGCTGGTACTCGTTTTCTGTTTTCCCTCTCGGGCTGATATAGCAGCTGAGCGAGTGCTGGCAAGCTGAGCGGCTTATCAAACGCTGTAGATGCAGCGATGAATGCATTGGTAAATGAATGCATTCACGATAACTTCATTCGAGTAGAAGCCAAAGATCCCACCGAAATAAAATTGATATTTATACTCCATTCTCTACTCATTGTTCTTACTCTCTACTTGAGCCGGTTATTGTTGCACGCATCTTTCAAACTAAAGCCTAACAAGATACATACAAATTGGTACTAAGTAGATAGATCGGTGAAAAGACAGGAGAAGAGAGGAAACAGCCAGCGCGGGGAGGAACTAGCCCCCTCATTCGCAGACAAAAAGAAACCAAAGATCCAGCATCCGATTCTCGGTGTCAGGCAAAAGAACGAAACTCGATCAACGAGCTCCCGACAAACCAAGCTCATCCAGGTAAACAAAAAAAACCCAGCCTGGATGGTGTAGGAGATGAACCTAAAAGGCTAGCCATGCGTCTATGATGGCGGAGATCACAGTGGCAACAAAGAGATTGTCTGTCAAATGTTCGTCACGATGGGCGGGTTGTAGAAATGCCAGCGTCACGGACGCCGAGGGCAAATCATATCCCAGGCCCTTTGCGCCGGGTCATCGCCACAGGCGAATGGACCGACCATGACGAAATCGATAGTTCAGTATCTTTGTTTCTCACGCGAATCTCACCACCATAGACCGCGACAAGCCGAAAATAGGCACAGCCCGACCAAGCATCACGGATGATGGCCGAGAAATGCGCCGTCACGTAGACTTGTCCTCAAGCAGACCCAATCAAATGGACGCTTACCAGCCCGGTATCCGGTACCGGGAGGAGAATCATCAACGGAACAACCAACAAAAGAAATTCAAGCGCTGAGACCAGTCGGCGACGTGAGAGTCCTGATGTCGTATCCCGTCGAACCGTGACAAGAAATGAAGTCATTCCACATCCAAATTCATATCCCATGCCGCGAGGCAGACCTGGTCTTCATGACATATATGCGGGAAATGAAACACAGAGAATGAATAGAAAGAGCCGACCCGCCGCTGCTCGATGCAAATCAAAAAAGATAATCAAAAATCGAAACGCTGACGCTGGCTGGAAAACAAAAAAAACATATAACAAGAGCAAAAATGAATAACAAAACGCATGCCACCAAGCAAGATTATTCTGGATATGATGCAGTTGGCGTAGTGGAGTATCACGAATGCACACAGAGCCGAAGAAGAACGCCGTCGAGAAATGCCAATTAGTCGAGGATCGGGGCTGCGATCCATTTTTCAAGTGGATCGGTACCAGGAGGTATTGTCGATGTTGACTGGGTCGCTCGACGAGGGAGGAAGAGTAGGTGGTGGAGGAGGACGAAGAGGTGGAGGAGGAGGAGGCATCGATTGCTGCGTACTCCACGGTCTACGTGAAGTATCAGGCCGGAAGGGCTGGGGCTGAAGCTGCGAGAATGCCGCTTGCTGGGGGGTGGAGGATGATCCGAATCTATCAGATCCCCTCCATGCAGCGGGCTATATCGTCGTGCCGTAGGGCAACGGGGCGAAGTCACCCCAGTTACCCCAGCCACCAAAGCCACCGAAGCCACCAAAACCACCAAAACCGGTCATGTTGGCAGCCGTACTGCACGGCTGCACAAGCATGCTGGGAAGCGGGAGGGTTGCAATAGCCGCCGAAGTTGCTGCCATACTAGTGTCGTAGGTCGGGAAGGCCGCGGTGGTGTAAGGTTGGCTGTAGGAAGGGGTCGGCGACGGCAGTTGAGCTTCAGTGAAAGCGAGACTGGCCCACAGATTCGGATTAGAATCGCCCGTACTGACCGGGGATGGACTAGGTGGCAGTACTTTCCACTCCATTGGTACGGAGGGGGGCATCGGGGTATGCCACCAGGTTTCAGGGCCCGTGGAGCTGGGGAGGACTGGCACTGAGCGCATAACGTCCACCACCCGTGGTGGCGGAGGCAACAGCGGCAGGAAAAGATTCGAAATCGCCGTTTTGGCCTCCTCGCTACGGCCGCAGAGCAGCTCCCCAGCTCCATCCTCCTCGAGTCCCTCCAGGGCTTCGGCGTCGGTTCGATAGACGAACTTGTTGGCGGCTTGGACGAACTCTTCCTGCAACTTCTTCAGCTGGGCCTGCTTGCCTGACCAGTCCCACGAGTTCGCGGCGGCATCGACCGAGTAGATTTCCTTGTGAAAGTCCACTAGGGACTCGATAGTCTCCGGGGTCAATTTGAAGGCCACCTCGTTACGCGAGACCATGTCGACATGTACAACATAAGCCTCGATGTGGATCATCTGGTAGTTGAACAGACCCTCCACGAGCGGATTCTCGTCCTTCCGTAGCTCTGCTTCGGGCGCCTTGGTGAACATCATAGAGCATAGGGTCCAGATCGCATTGCTGGACGACAGGGTCTCGGTTAAACACCGAGTATGCTGAGTGACGTTGTTGAGCGGGCGCTTGACCCGGTTGACACGCTTCAACGTCGCCGTCAACCACGGCGCAACCTTTCGAGTCAGAACCACATTGGGTGATGACCGAGGTGCAAAAGCAGCAGCAGAAGAAGGAAGTAAGACTGTAGGCATTATGACTCTGTGCGTAAAGGGGATACGACCGGCGTTTTGGAGAGGGGACGGAGAAGAGCAATATAGTCAATGAAAGCAGACAGAAATAACAGTTGGAGGTTAGAAAAGAATGTATAAAGTCAAAAGCAGAATCATAAAGGCAACATTCGCCCACACAAAATGCCCGAATCAGGTAAAAAAAGGTCCAGTTCGCAGTTGTATGGACAAGCCGAGTTTCTCTGGGCGGAATTAGATCAATCGCATCACTCAAGAGTGGGAGCCTAGTTGTTGTTGTGTGGAAGGCTCGGCCAAAGGTTGAATCTATTAATGTGCGGGCGAATGCGCGTGGAAAAGAAGCGAAGAAAATTAGATATAAACACAAAAAGGAGAGGACAGTGAAAATTCACGATGGTCGAAGAAATCGACGAGGGAGAAACAGGTGGCTGATGGGGAGAATAAGAATCGGAGGGGCGGGATCCGCGATGACCAAAAGAAGTAATACGGTGGGGATTAGAATTCTCGTCAAGAATCGTACTGGCCGAGAGTAGTTTTGATGTATACAGTTTAGTGGTACGCACATATCATTAAATCTTGTTATAATTATAAATATTCGTCTCTATGGAAGACCAGATGTCTGGGCAGAGACCCTCGTATCAGGGTGTACAGTATGCACGCTGATGGAGTCTCTCGGGAGTACCGCTTCCCAGCTTATTCGTCTTCTCCTTTACGAGGTATGAGAGTACCGATGTGGGAAGTGTGCACTGCCATTGCCGTATTGTAATTCTGTATACTCCGTACAAGTAGTATACATACTGTAGTACTGTACACATGTACGTACGGAGGATACCGTACGAGACTCCATTTACGAGGCGATGCACAGTGCAGATTGGCCACGATTCCTCGGACTCCCCGATCTGCGACTCTAGAAGGTCGGGTTTCCGGGTGGCAAGTAGTCCTACATTAGTAGAGATACTTCGGCATTAGGTATTCAAGAGCTATAGGCATAAACATTCCTACTCTGATCTACATTAGCCAGAAACCGGCGTAGGCGGGAGTTGAAACGGCAGCGAATACAGCAACTGCACGGCGAGGCCCAACCGATCACAGCGTTTCATCGCGGAAGTATGAACCACTCAATTAAAAATCAGAGAACAGGATAAAACACAACGGAGAAGTTGACCAAAAGAAAATATAGAAAAATCTAGAAATCCAAAAAAAATTACAGCATCACTACAAGAGAAATAAAAATTTGATCGCACGGTACTTCCCAGTCTCACACTCCTAGGCCTGCGCGTTGCACGTCCATTTGCCCAAAGCAACCTGCAAGATGCCCTAAACTGCAAAAGCTAAGCCCCCGATGATCCGCGCTGCGAAACAGCATTCTGCTAGCGAGGAAAATCCTCCGAGTTCAAAAGTCAGCGAGCCACTCGAGGCCGAACAGGGCATCGCATGCCGCCTGGGCCTGCATTGATTTTTTTGATCGAGAAGGCTTTGTGACGAGCACAACACGTTGCTGTTTTGTGTCCACATTTCAGCTGGGATTGACAGATGCAATGCAATATTCGCTTCCAATGCCTCTATTCAACTACCATTCGGTTAATCCGGTACAAAGTTGTATGCATAGGGATCAAAAAAAGCGGTTGAATGGCCGTTTGCATGCTATTCCTCTCCTACAACTGGATAACCAAGTTCACGAGCAATAATAACACAAGTAAGCACGCCCGTCGCTCTGGGTCCAAGGACTTGAACCATTCGAGCGCCATGCAGCTAGAATCTACTCCACAAAACCCTAACAACTTGCAAAAGACTAGTTTGGCGCCCACCCTATCGCACAACAGATAGAGGGTGGCATCCCACGTTCCCCGAAGCGGAAGGCTCGATTTGTGCGTTTCAAGAAGTAAAATCTGCAATAGCATCACTACAAATATGCATGAGAATAGGGGGTGGAAGGTTGCAGCAGCAAGGGCATTTTCGAACAATCAGACTTGAAACCACTCAGTTGTTCTCGTTCGATGAACCTTGCCCACCCTTTTTCGGACGTATCGAGTGCCGCTAGCACGGAAACCTCAGCTGATGGAGGGTCGAGCAGACGTGGGGCAAGTCGGTCTTGGGCGACTTCAGCCCGCGGATTCGCTGAAGGCCACCGCGTCGGGCCAAGGCGATCCAAGCTGAAATCCCTGCTTTGATCTGCGATTGGGCTGAGCCTCGCTGATAGTCTCTTGCCAGACTTTGGGGAGGCGCCCCGCCTAGCTTGTGATTTGTTGATATCTTATACCGGACAATACCCAACTATACCGGATAAGAACTACCTGTAACTTAACTCCCACTCCAGTTATGTTCGTACATACGGGGTCGCACATCGACGTGATGTGCTCCGGTTCTTCAGCGACCGTTGACTCCCGCCCTAGGTATATCCCACATGATCCAGACGCGGTGATCTCATCTCGCAGGGCGGGATCGACTCCCTGATCATGCGTAACAAGGCGTTTTTGCGTGCAATCAGAGTCTCTGATTCTAAACCCTTGAAGCCTGCCGGCATATGAAGTTGGTCATGTGGTCGCTCCGCGTCAGGGAGTTGGGGAGACGAGCGTGAAGCGGTTGCAATCGGACACTCGGAGGTGACGATCGATTCCAATATTCCATCAAATGACGCTTCATCAACTCTCAAGAGCCACGAATAATATCTTCCTTGTAAATTGCCCATTCCTTGTATGCTAGCAGGGCGGTGTATCCGAGGGGGCGAATGTTTCTCCCCCATTTTTCCTAAAATAGGAACCTGTCAACAACGCCGTTCAAGAACTTTAGCCGACTGCGCCTCACTTCCACTGAGTTGTGCGCCACGTCACTCGCCACTTGATCCACTAAAACGTGGCTTGTGTGCGCGCATTACCGATGAAGTCATGGACAGCTGTAGTATGTAGACAAATACCGCGTAGATGCAGTATATTGTTCTCAATCTGTTCCAGCGCCTAACTAAGTTTTCTGTAACCAGTTAATGAAATTTATGCTCTTACCCAATCGATTAAAGCTCAAACCTTGTTTTTCAAACTAGTTGCAGAACTTCAGCGGGCTTCGAGCAACACAACGGCTACAGGTACCGTAGCCCAACGGCCAGCACCAGGATGAGAGATCACCTGAACGTATCCGCTAGGAATACATGTCAAGATATCGAGGTCATAATTAATAGAATAATGTATCTGATCGGGTGCTATGAGTCACTATGGTCCCGAAAACACTAGTTTGAAATCGAGCCGTCGTCGATTCTACACCGACTATTGTCGGCAATTTACCGGCAGTGAAATATTGCAATATCCGGTCCCTCACAGAATAGACACTACGGAATCTCTCTGAATGATGAGAATAATCTTAGATCAAGGAATTCCGAATTTGACGACTATTTTGCTACGGTCTGGCTCCTCAGCAGAGTGTAAACAGCTTCTACACATCGAATGTAGTTCTGTCCGTGAATGATTTATCAGGAAAAATGAGCTGTTTTTTTCTATACAAAAGTTTGATAATTATGGAAGCTATTTCACATTATTAGCCCATACTTTTGCCTGATAGCGGCTCACTTTTCAGGTACATGCCACTTCTTGCCTATTTGCCGGGCACAGAGAAGGTCCAGTCCTCAGGGAACTGGCCATATTGGATATCGTCCCGTCCTCGGAAGATATCATCGTAGTGCTCGATGCGAGTCTCCGGATCCTTGGCCTGCTCATAGTACCGGTGAGTCAGTCTCTTGAACACCGGATCGTTCCACATCTTCGCCATCCACGCCAAAGCGTCCTCGCTAGCGGCATCTATGGGCAGTCCGTATGTACGGAATCGCTAAAAATTGTCAGATAGGCACATAAAAGTAAAAGACAGGCCATCTCCAAAGTATCTCATACCGTAAGAACCGGCCAGAAGAAAGCATCAGCGATGCTAAATCCTCCAAACAGGAATCCTTCATCGACCTCGCCCAAAGCCGCGAGACGCTCCTTGGTACCCTTGCGAGCGGTATCCCAAAGACTCAACATCTTCAGGATCTCCTTGTGCGCCTCCTCAGAAATCGGGACATTACCCGTATAATGCGCCAAGAAGTTCGTGCTGAACGAGTTCCGTATCGCAGAGAAGCCGGAATGCATCTGAGCAGTGGCACTGCGAGCGAGAGCCCTCAATTGGCGATCGCGAGGCCAGAGAGGCAGCTCAGGGTTCGATTCAGCCAGAAATTCGCAGATTGCGAGCGAGTCGCAAATCCTGGTACCGCCGAGAGAGCGGCATTCCAGGAAGGGCACGTAGCCGGAGGGCGAAACGGTTTTCACCTACGCACTCATCAGATTCATGTGAAAGTATTGAGTGCGACAGCATTTGAGCAAATCATACATCGGAGAGTTTGATGAATTGGCGAGTGTGCGGAATCTCGAAGTACTCCAAGACCGCTTCGACTCGGCTCGTCCAGCCTGTGTCCCGTTAGCGAGGAAATATTTGAGATTTGAAGGCTGAACTTACTGGAGTAGCGAGTGTGAGTGCCGATGAAATGGATATCTGGCTGTTCGGTGGCCATGGTGATTTTGGACTTTCGTGATTGACCGAGGGGATTGTGTGGTTGACGTGCGGGATATAACCAAGCCGTGACTGACTCACCGATATGCGGTTCGTGTTGTTTCGACCGAGGCTAACCGCGGAGTAACCAGAAAATCATCCTTCTATTGGCACTGACTCAGCACTTGACATTTTGCTCGTAGCTCAGAGCTAGGATGCGATCTTTATCATTTCAATGAAGCTATACACATAGCTACAGGATGAAGTTTTGATGGACGGTAATTTTTACCACGTAAGCGCACGATGGTTTCCCTTCCGAAACAGTCTCGTATTTACACAGTTCTCGAACCATCGTACCGTATCATCTATCGACTTCAACAAGGCCGGCCGTTCATCATAACAATGGCCAAAGCAAAATAACATCAGATCCATGGAAAGGCTGGAGGTCTGTGCAGGCGGGTCAAATGTGACTCCTAGACACCAAAACGAGCTATCTCCAATACCGGTTAGAGCACATCACTGAAGAAACAAGTCATTGGCTCATCCGTGGAATTTACGCGCCGACTCAACATTGAGATCTCCTCCCCGAATGAGATGACTGATTATTGTTTCAGGGAAGACTTGACGCTGGGATCCCGTAACGATGAGATCATTCTGCTCTGAGCATCGACTTCCAGCTATATTTAGCGGGATCCATGCTGAGTTGCTGACGATCTACATCTAGCCCCCATGGAAGTCACTATGGCCCAAGCGCAGAGAGGTCTAGAAGCGACGGAGCTTTTTCTCCACAGAGTACTTCTGAGAAGGATAAACGATGTCAGATTGAATACCACGGAAAAATATGTGCTATGGCCTCGCCCCTTTCCGGATCAATGCAGAAAATCGCCATTAGTTTCCTTCAGTAGAAGTTGATACTCAGGTTCGAACTGCATGTACATAGCCTCAGGGCTGCCAGTACCTTCTTTGGTATACAGTGCAACGTCATCGTCGATAAGTGTCTTTTTAATTTCCCCGATACTGTGACCGATCGAGCCTGGTGCAATTGATGCCTCTACGAGTAGCTGTGTCTGACATGCCCGTTCTAGGGCGATGAAAAACGCAGCTGCCTCAGCTACCGTTCCACCCGCGGTGAGAAGGCCATGGTTTTGCATGATGAGGTTCTTATTCTTGGGGCCAAGATAGTCTGCAATTCGCTCGCCTTCCTCCTGGGCGAAGACCACGCCCCCAAAGGCAGGGTAGACGGAGAGATCATCATAGAACATGCAAGAATCTGAGATATCAATCTTAGCCGAAAAGAAGAAAGCAATGTCGATCCAGCCAGATGGCATTGTTCAAGCTATGGGTGGGCCGCGAAGGTAGTGGAAAGGACAAAGTACCTTGATTCAACATATCGATTCCCTTTCCAAATGTGCTCCATGCTCTCCCATACGGACTATGCATGTGACAAGCAGCGTGGAGATCAGGTCGTCTCTGATGGATCGCTGAGTGAATCATAAAGCCCGCTGGATTTACAGGATTGATTGCACCATCCACTCGATCCCCTTTATCATTCACGCGAACCATATCAGAGACTTTGAGTAAACCAAAGTGCACTGCGTAGGGGTTGATCCAGAAGGTATGTGGTTCGACAGGATCTGCTATTCCGTCAACACCAAGGACGACTCTTTCAACTTTCTCTATCAACAATACCTCGCAAGCTAATATGGCCACTACTACCATCGGCGAAGCCCAGCTTAGCGAATATGCGAAATGCAGCTGCCATCTGCCCGAGAAGCCATTCTCGCTCGGCTTCTTTGGTGGCAGGGCGTGGAATGTGATGCAGTCTTTTCACCTGGCCATCTGCGTTCTTCGTATTTAGCGCAGAGGTTCTCGTTGCAGCCTCGACTTCGGAAGCGATCGAAGTCATTTGGAAATGCCGTGCACTAGTTTTTGGAGTCAAGTTTAACAGTGAGAAGGTATTCAAAATCAAATCAGATGCGATGACAAGATGGCCATCAAGATGATGGCAAGTCCAACCCCGCAATAAGATATCAATAATGCGCGATCACGGCATCTACCCCTCGGATAATTTTCCGAACAATAAGCAACCCACAGTTATCAACAGTATGTCCGAAAATCATTGTATTGTAGAGAATGGCTATGTATATGAACCCGTCGTTCTCTTCCTGGGAATAAGAGCGCTCATCCAAGTAAAAAGCTCTTCAATACAATCCGATTGTCCACATCTGTCATGTATCAGGCAAAAACCATCTACACGACATGCGAAATTGTTTTCTCTGTCATGCAGAAAAGATGGCAAAAAGGGTTGCGATATTTCTCACTAGATTTAAAACATGGATTGATTTGATTAATCGATTCGGGAAAGGCCCGGTAAGACTTCTATGGCACTTGGAGACTGCCACAAGAACTACAATTGATTGATTACCGTGTAATCCAACTGACATGCGGAGATGTTGGGTCATCTCAGCCGCACCACACGCAGCTCAAGGTTTCTGAGCGTTAGAATCTCCGAGGAACAGACAGGAAAGTCCACCCATTTCTCCGCGGTGACGCAGGAACGAATGTGAGGGGCAAGTGGCGACACGGAAAACGGAAAGAGGGGCGGGGCTGCACTTCGAGATCAATATCCATAAGCTTGTTCCATCATTTGAACGCAAAGAGTCTCAGTGCGATGTTATCCTTTCTTGAGCTGCCGGGTGAAATCCGGTTAATCATTTATGCTTATTTGCTGCACCCAAACGACTATCTCAGCGGGTACCGACAGATAGAGACCATGATCACAGCACACACGGACCGGTCTCGAGGACCTAGCTGTGCTGACCCTCGCTATTACGTTGAGCGGTATACACCTTCAATTCTCCTCTTGAACAAACAAATAACCAGCGAAGCCCTCGATGTTCTGCATCGAATACCACTCAATTTGGAAGGTACCCCAGGGACATACCTCGCCATGCGCCAGATGGACATCACCGAGTTTATCAGTGAAGAGCTGCTTCAAAATATTCATTACGCCATTCTAAGGTTGGACTTTGCACACAAGCATTTTGTCTTGCCACTACTCGACATTTGGGGACAAAGAAACAACCTGAAAAGACTTGATGTTTATCGTCCGAGGACGACTCCTATCCCGCGAGATCATTGGAAAGTTGTGAAAAGCAGGGTCCATTTCCCGTTCGTCATATTGAGCGATGCACTGCTAACAGTTTCTCTAGATACGAACTTTCTCGACCACAGTGCCTGTTATCTGGCATAAAGTTGATGATCCTCTTAAAGCCGACATATGAAGGCTATGGCATCAATGAGGCCAGTATCATATTGAATATAAGCCAGAAAAGGGTACCTTCTCTTGTCGTGCAAGTAAGTACCGCGGCCGAGCCCTTGACACTCGCCCGCAGGGAGGTGGGAGCAAGCAGTTGCTTGAGTCGAAAATTGGAAGTTATAGGCTACCGGTTGGCGTTCCGACGAAACGTGAGCCAGAACTGCACAGAGACTGAGATTCGAAGGGAATGATGGCCCGATCGACGGTTCTTTGGCGGCCCCTGACATGCTTAGAAGGAGCATTTTGCTGCTCTTTCTCCCTGAATCAATGATTGGGCCCATGGGTCATTACGTATTCATGTGCAGTCATTGGATGAAGAACGTGTATGATGAGATATTAAATTCGAGTTGAAGTCGTCCAAGTTGATGATATTGGCTTATTCTTTTAGTTCTGATCTTGGTGATGGATTTAGTAGGATTTCGCCCTTCAGGAGGAAAATAACGATGTCGCTCGTGAGCGTGTTTATTGCGGTGGAACTGAATGTGAAACCTGGTATGTAGATGCATGTTCAGGACGCTATGGATGCATCTTTGTAGACAGTCATGGCAGACGGCCTCCAGCGGTACTGGAAAAAGAAATGCGAAACCCGAAGCCCCCGTACAGTTGTTGGCACAAGGCTGCACCATTGTTTGCAAGGTCAATCTGCTTCCCCCGAGAGCCGGCGGATACCATCTCTGTAGGTGGCTGTGACGAAAGGATCAAGTCGTTCGCATCGGATCCCCGGAAGCATGATGTGATATTTTGGGGCGTGTTCCGCCCTGCAGTGGAGGTAGGACCTGGGGGCGAGTCCTATGGGTGTGCCATGAAAATCCTTGTGGCTGCTACTTTGAGCACGGGTTGGAAGAGATCGCCAAGAAGCGGCGCAGTGCTAGCCTTGATGAGACCGTTGGTTCCAGATGCAAGACATCGTCATTGCATCGCACATGGCTAGGAAACAGGCTAGGAAACAGGCGCATTGCCAACCAATGTGTGAGTCGTGAACAAAGTGAGCACGAAACGTTGCCATCATCTTGTGGTCCATGTTACGCTTGCAGTATCGAAACTTTGTGGCTTCGCTGTGCCTCGGTCGTTTGTCTTCAAGATGGAATATCCGATGCCTTGACCTCCCGATATTTCGATGCAATCTTCATCTCCATATCTAGCTCCTTAATCTTCTTATCGATCTCCTTCTGAACCTGCTCTCTTTTCTTTTCGGCTTCTTCAATCTTCCTTTTCGCTTCTTTAGCGGCCTGTTCTTGGGCTCTCAGTGCGGCTTCTTTGGAAGGAAAATCTTGTCGCAGCTGCTCGAGCTCAGCGCGGAAATCCTGGTCTTCGATTGGTTGGCAGGAGATCGGGTGGTAGCTATAAATGGGAAGTGGTCCTCCTGGTACTTGAACCTCAGGGAGGTCTGGGTGTATGGCCGTAGTACGGATCGGGGAGTCGAGTGGGACAATTGAGACCGACTCCGATGGTGGGGAGAGGAGGGGCCCTTCAGCTTTCACCATGATCGCAGATTTAAAGAAACCGACCTGAGACAAAGGAGCGGCAGAGGAAGAAGAGAGGGTCTTTAAAGAAGGGTAATTGAAGGAGTTTGGAAAGAGTGAAGGTCGGATCGTCTCGAATCGGAGATTCTGCCAATCGCTCCCCTCACCGCCAAGACATCATCATCGGCGGGGAGCCCTCTCCGGACAATGCCTTGGACACCACTATCCATGTTTGCAGGAGGCTGTCAACTAAGAATCAAGAGACATCCCTTAGGCAGGTCCTAAGTGGACTAGTTGTGGTGGATCTAATTTGTAAGAGTGGGCGGACAGGAAACTGACAGAGCCGCTTCGTTTCACCCTTACGGCGAATTACTTGCATACAACTCGAACCACCATGCAGGCATTCGGTGAGTGCTCTCAATCAAACCACTGATCTCATAAGCCAGTCCACTTTTTGTATTTAGCATCCACTAATCTTGTTTGATTCATCTAGTCCCTAAGAACAGGAGGGTAAGTTTCCGAGGTACTCCGGACGATGAAACGCAAATACTAACATACGCTTCTAGCCCAGATTTGAGCTTGTCCTGAGGGTAAGCGCAGTCTTTGTACTTCAAGAGAAGATCTCTGGTCTAAATTTCTTACACAGATAAACGATATCAACAATGTACCTTTGGGCAACGGCACTGTTTGGGTGCGTTGGCGCCTGCCATCATCTAGCGCCTCTGAAAATCAGGGTCATACCGAGAAAGCGCCTTTATCTGATCACCGTGCCTACTGGAACTATGAGAAGGCTCTCCATGTGAGACTCACTATCGACCGAAACTCCATGCTTCAGGAGTGTGATATCAATTTTGAGATTATTCAAGAGTTCAATGCTTCTCCCGCCAATGAGAAGAATGTACTTGGAAAAATCAAGCTGAATCTTGCCGAATATGTGGATAAGGTTGATGAAGATGAAGGGGTTGTCAGGCGATACTTGATGTCGGACTGCAAAGTTAATAGCACCGTCAAGATTGGCATCGCTATGCGCCAAATTGAAGGAGATCGCAATTTCAACACGTATGCACACGCTTGATTCATGATTCCACTTCCCATCATGCTGACCCTCTGTTAGGCCACCTCTCCAGTCTGCTACCGTCTTTGGAGGAATCGCAAGAGTCGTACACGCCGCGGAACCCGGTGACTCGGAGGAACTCGGACATCTTCCATCCATCCATATGAAGAGCAGAGAAATGGCTGATATGCAAGATATGTATCGTCGTACTCTTGCAGCATCATGGACCTCTCGGGCTTGTGATCTGCCTGCAGATAAGCTGATCGAGGAGCTTTTTGCTGGGAGCTCCTGCTGGAACAATGAAACTCACAATAACCACTACGACGCTTATCCAGACCGCCATAATGACCATCTAACGGCAGAGGCTGCATCTCAGAAAATACAATCCGGGAAACGGCTATCGCCTAGCTTTGAGAGGCGCTCTAAGAGTGCTTCAAGCAACCAGTCACATGGTAGTGGAAAGATACCTGACTCGCATTCAACTCTCGGCCACCTGCAAAAGGGTGGCAGCCTCGAGCAGCAACTCTATGATGGGGCGAAAGGAAGAGGTTGGAAAAACCGGCAGGCTGGGCACGAACTGTGCGAATTCGACGTGAGAGAAGATTTGCGAAGCTGGGAAATTACTGCAAAGGATGAGCAATGAGATGATCTTAGCATGGGCAAAGCAGAGAAAATAATAGCATATCTTGATAAAGACCTTTAGCTCCGATTCCTCAAATTTTACAGGGCTGGTCATATTCAATCTTGGATGCACACGTTTAAGCCAGGCTTAATGATCTATTTCTCAATGGAAAGCCTGAATTACCTAAACAAAAGGTCCTATTGACTCTTGTGCAAGCTAAATAATGATATTGCCACCTTTTTGCTAGTC